AACAAAGGTAAACTGTCCCTAAAGAGCTTATCTAAGAGAGGACAACTCTTAAAGTAGAGATTACCTGACAGAGGACAACTGTCCCATTGGAGGTTATTTGACAGAGGACAACTCTCCCCATAGAGCTAATATAACAGAGGACAACTCTCCCCATAGAGCTTGTCTAACAGAGGACACCTCTCCCCATAGAGCTTATCTAACAGAGGACACCTCTCCCCATAGAGCTTGTCTAACAGAGGATTACTGTCCCCATAGAGCTTATATAACAGAGGACACCTCTCCCCATAGAGCTTGTCTAACAGAGGATTACTGTCCCCATAGAGCTTGTCTAACAGAGGACAACTCTCCCCATAGAGCTAATATAACAGAGGACAACTCTCCCCATAGAGCTAATATAACAGAGGACAACTCTCCCCATAGAGCTTATATAACTGAGGACACCTCTCCCCATAGAGCTTGTCTAACAGAGGACACCTCTCCCCATAGAGCTTATCTAACAGAGGACACCTCTCCCCATAGAGCTTGTCTAACAGAGGATTACTGTCCCCATAGAGCTTATATAACAGAGGACACCTCTCCCCATAGAGCTTGTCTAACAGAGGATTACTGTCCCCATAGAGCTTGTCTAACAGAGGATTACTGTCCCCATAGAGCTAATATAACAGAGGACAACTCTCCCCATAGAGCTAATATAACAGAGGATGACTCTCCCCATAGAGCTAATATAACAGAGGATGACTCTCCCCATAGAGCTTGTCTAACAGAGGATTACTGTCCCCATAGAGCTAATATAACAGAGGATGACTCTCCCCATAGAGCTAATATAACAGAGGACACCTCTCCCCATAGAGCTTATCTTACAGAGGACATCTCTCCCCATAGAGCTTGTCTAACAGAGGATGACTCTCCCCATAGAGCTAATATAACAGAGGATGACTCTCCCCATAGAGCTTATCTAACAGAGGATGACTCTCCCCATAGAGCTTGTCTAACAGAGGATAACTGTCCCCATAGAGCTTATATAACAGAGGACAATTCTCCCCATAGAGTTTATCTAACAGAGGACAACTGTCCCTATATCGCTAATATAACAGAGGACACCTGTTCCTATATAGCTAATTTATTAGAGGACAATTTTCCCTACAGAGCTTATTTTGCAAAGGACATTTGTCCCTATAGAGCTTATCAAGTAGCTTAATTAATAAATTACCTCTGTTCCTATACAGTTTATCTAGGACAATGGTCCTTAGGGTTTATCACACACACAAGATAACTGTTTCCATAGGACTACAGAGGACCATCATTTTCCAGTTATTGGAAATGTTCTCTACCCATTATTGTTGGTTCTGGTAAATCTCAGAAGTGTATGCCTTATGACCAGTGGTATTACAAATCATCTTTATAACAGATAATTGAGATTTATTGTCAGCTGATTTGGTCTTAGTCTATAGATTTATAACCACTTAATCTGGTTCCATTTGTACAACAGATATGTGGTCATGGAATGTAACAGAAGTACAGTGTACACAATATTCTCTCATGGTGTGTAAAATGTGGTCATAAACAATATTACCAAACAATAGTTTAATTATAGTTTGATGTTTTGTGTGAATACCTGCTGATCAGTATAATAGATTAAAAACAAAACATGAAAGGTTTATATTACAATGAATGAGAGGAGACTAAATTGATATTGTAGTGATCAGTATTAGATGGTTTATTGGTATTGATCAGTAGTGATCAGTATTAGATGGTTTATTGGTATTGATCAGTAGTGATCAGTATTAGATGGTTTATTGAAATTTTTAAGTCAAGATGGAGAGGTGAACTGAAGTTTTGTTCCTTTGTTGAAATTCTTTCAAGATTTTGTTGGCGAATTCCTGACAGTTAATTTTTCTTTGAAATTGTATCAAGTTTTATAATTAATGCCAATGAAAACGCTCCTTTCAGCCGTTGATGACATGATAGAAGCTCCTCCCACTTTCAAGTCAAGTTATATCAATTCAGTTCAGGATGTAGGTCCTGGCATATGAAAATGCTTGAAATGTCTCTTTGCATGAATTATCTGCCTAAATTGTTGTGTTATTGATTCCAAGTGTACATACCCAAAATTTGCCATGTCTATCTCTGAATGGTAAAGGTATTTGTTCACTGAAGTAGATCAATAAAACACGGGACATGATGGAGAGGCTATGACAAGTGACAGCAGATTCATTCGAAGTTGTCAGTACACTTCTTTCAAATGCAGATTGGGATTTTTTGTATAGGGTAATGCAGTAAAGATAGGAGACAATACCCTGTAATATATGATTTTATTTAGCTTTGATATTACAACTGAGCCTTGATGCCTGGATTGAAAATATCACCCGTTATTTTTATTGACATTCTGACATTACCAACAAACTCACGTTAGGCGAAGAAAAGTGAATTGGAATAGTATGTGACAATGATCACCATTATGAAACTCTCCACTTCACATTTCAATAACACATTTGAGCAAGTCTTAATTATCATAAATTTCTCCAATGTTGAGGTCAATCATCTGCCTCAACAGGAAAGGTTGCCGCCATATTTGGGCTAGTGTCGGAATGATTGTCATGGCAACAACTTGGCAATTGATGAGTATGTCAGGGATCAGATCTTGAAAACTATTCAATAGAAAGATGTGCTTGTTTAGTCACACTGACATGTTTTATAAACATTTTCCAGTTTGCACACCCACTCAGTTAATTTTTATTCCATCTGAGGTATGTCTGATTGTATTTGTTTTCTATTTTGAAAATCACAGAATTTTGTCCTTTTATTGTGTTTCGTTAAATGTGGTATTTTGTTAAATGTGGTGTGAGTTATCTCCCAGACTTGCAGAATCAGTGTCTGATGAGTCTTTTGTCCACATGTGGTAAATTTTTGACAGATCTGGTTATGATACGTAATGATAGTTGATTCTGGACGTGGTTGCTAATTATTGTACAGACAGTGGTAAGTGAGGACATGTGCAGGACATGTCTGATCCAATTAAGAGAGACAAGTGTTTAATACTTGAGGTATGACGATGCAATCAAGAATGTCATTTTTGTCACAGCTCATTTGATTACTGAAAGGCTCTTAGGATCGAGTCAGGCAAGGTATATAAAAATACATGCTGGAGATGCAAAAATAACTAAAAGTGATAATTACAAAACCTGACTTTGCCCCTAGTAATAGCTGATGACACTTTAGCAGTAGTGTTGGACTTTTAACCAGTGAATTGGATTAGATAGCATCAGATCCTGTTTAATAGAGACTGTCACTTTCACTAGGATTGACAGGAGGAGTGAGCAGGAGAAACAAGCTTCGGGAGGAGGAGTGGGTGTGACCCATATTCAAGGTCACATGGGTCAATTTCTGAAAACCTTCAAACAACTCTTTCTTATTAAGCAAATTATTTGGCTGGTAGATTTCTGGGATGAAGCTCAACACAGGTCACAGGAGTCAAAATTGTTAAAACCTACAATCAATTTATCTTATAATGATCCATATTGCCCTGAATCGTGATGTTTGGTTGTAGGTGACACAATCCCTTTGGGTCTCTTGTAAATAAAAGATTTTGAATTTGAAAAAAAAAATCAGTCATATTTCTCAAATATTCATTTCAGTAATATAGCTGATAAACTGTGCACTCATATTTGAAAATATAAAAGAGATTGTGTCGATTGTTCTGTTACTACCACATAAATCACAGAATATTGAATTTAGGGGAAAAAAAGGATCTCACACTTCAAAATGTCCCAGTGCTTTGCCTAAAAATATCAGGGGAATCATTACATTAATTATATGGTTGAAGGCCTGAAGTGGTTCACAGGTAGTTTACAAGTGCAGTCTTTTAAGAAAATTGCTGTCTTCTATGTCTTCAAGGAAATTGTGTAGTGCAGTAATCAGAAAGAAAGAAAATTAACATGGATGAAACCTAACAAATCTACATTTTCAATTAGGTCTATGTATGGGAGGCAACAACAGTTAGTAACATTGTTCCCTGTTAATGTGAGTAACTAAGTCTATGTATGGGAGGCAACAACAGTTAGTAACATTGTTCCCTGTTATTGTGAGAAACTAGGCCTATGTATGGGAGGCAACAACAGTTAGTGACATTGTTCCCTGTTAATGTGTGTAACTAAGTCTATATATGGTAGACAACAGTTAGTAACATTGTTCCCTGTTAGTTTGAGTAACTAAGTCTATGTATGGGAGACAACAGTCAGTAACATTGTTCCCTGTTGATGTGAGTAAATAGGTCTGTGTATGGGAGGCAACAAGAGTTAGTAACATTGTTCCCTGTTAATGTGAGTAACTAAGTCTATGTATGGGAGACAACAGTTAGTAACATTGTTCCCTGTTAATGTGAGTAACTAGATTTGTGTATGGGAGGCAACAACAGTTAGTAACAGTGTTCCCTGTTAATGTGAGTAGCTAGGTCTATGTATGGGAGGCAACAACACTTAGTAACATTGTTCCCTGTTAATGTGAGTAGCTAGGTCTATGTATGGGAGATAACAACTGTTAGTAACATTGTTCCCTGTTAATGGGAGAAGCTAGGTCTATGTAAGGGAGGCAACAACACTTAGTAACATTGTTTCCTGTTAATGTGAGTAACTAGGTCTATGTATGGAGACAACAACAGTTAGTAACATAGTTCCCTGTTAATGTGAGTAACTAGGTCTATGTATGGGAGACAGCAACTGTTAGTGTTGACATTTTGATGATTTTTGTTGTCCTATGACAGATGGCGTTAAAACAAGGATACCCTACGCCAATTCCTGATCCAAATCAGTAGCCTGTGTGCCCACCCCTGGTTTTAGTTACTGCTGTTACTCTCCTTAACAGTTACCCCCATCAAAGTGTTTATTGTCAATAGAGGGATATTATTTCACTCCTGAATAAGGGCCAATATGAGTTGAGCGATGTTTGACATGCTTTCTTAATATGTTGTTTTGAGCCAGAATGTCATGACAAAGCCTAGCAACATGGGACCTCGCATTGTCCTGATGCAACGTAAGGTTATGTTGATGTATAAGAGGAAGGAGGTGTGGTCTCAAGACCTGATCCCTATATGTTACTGCGGTAATATTGCCAAGGATAAGCATGAGAGGTATTTTCATGCCTTGAGATATTCCTGCCCATACCATAACAGACACTTCTCGAATCTGCTGCTTTCCATTATGCAAGCGTCAGAATATTGGTCACCACAATATTGACAGACACATTGTCGTCCATCTGACCTGTAAAGTGTGAAGCAAGACTCATTGGTGAATAACGTGCACCTCCAAGAAATTGCTTTCTTGAAAAATCTGCCGAAAGTATGCAGTGTCAAGCGGGGTCACAGTCAGAATTTTAACTGAAGAACACTTTCACAATTCATGGAGGTAGCTCAGTGTCAAATTTAATTAAATTTCATCCACGTTTCTGAAGGTTATATTACAAACCCCGTACTTGCATTTCTTTTTTCTGCCAGTATATTTACTGAAGTATATTGGCATATGCCTATCAAATCCTGAATGTGTTGCTCTCAGTCCTGTTGTTTTTGACTGCGTAAGTTTTTTAACATCCCCAAGATGCATGATGCCATTCGTAACCTTTTGGTACATGTCAGGGTATTATTGCAGAAGGTCACATTTATGTGCGAGATCACATTTGATTTAATTATTTTTGTACAACAGTGTGTAACTGAGTGATGAAGTATCATTATATTGTTCTACATTTCCTTCCTGTGAAACATTCATTTACAACACAATTAACATCATAAAGATAAGTTCCTCAGGATAATTATAGGATCCTTTTGTGATTAATTTCCATGTCCTCATATAGTGGCACCAAAATCCTGCTGTGTCTCTTGTAATTATTGTAATATCAAATTAAGCAGATTTACTTGCCACATCAGTGTCTTTGGTAGAGACAAACACCATTCTCCAAGAATATACTATTATATTGTTATCGCCATCAGGGAACTATCCTGTTCTTGACAAAAAATCCCCGCAAAAACAATTTGCACATTCCTTTGCTGAAATATGGCAAAGAGATAGTAATAGCATTAGTGAAATTCTCATAAACTGAGTTGATGAATCCAGGGAGAGACATCGAAAATTTTTGACAAGAATCCAATTTCAGAAAGGGACAAAACAATTAAGGAAATGAAAAATACACAAATAGGTTTTCTGTTTCCATGGTTACAGTTGAGCAGTAGATATGGCTAGAGTCAGCATGATGACTGTTGTCTATCATGATAAATTTTCCTTCCTTTATTAGCTTATCAAAACGGCTATGTCCTGTTAATGGGTACCATTCTTACTAATTAGCAGATAGATTGTCATCTTGTAACTTAACAATATTGAAAAAATTCTCTTGGTATGATTTTTTAAAAGAGATTCTATTAATTGGAATTGCAGTGTATGTTGATAGCATAAAGGATTTTTAAAAACTGTTCATGTGGCTGTTTTTCACCCAAGTGTAAAACTTTTAATGTAAACTGTGCAAAGTGGTTTGTTTGTCCACATTTGTAAAGTAGTTAGTTTTATGTAAATATCTTTTGAACATTGTGGATCTCAATCATCTCTGTGTGTGTGGCACTCCAGTGATTTGAGGGTAACACAAGGATATCAACATTGTAATAGGGGAAATTCAACAATTTTTAAATCCTTTTCCTGCAGGAATGACAGAATTTTGCTGAAATCTAGTCTGAAGTATCCTTTGGTAAAGCGACTTAATTTTGTGTAAACAGCAGGTCTTACTTACCTGGAGCCTGAAAGATATGGCCAAATATAAAAACCATATTGGGACTGAGGGATGCATGTGGTCCATTATGGAAAATTTAGCAAATTAAAATCTTGCAAGAATCACAGGATTTTGGTTTGGTTTGAAGCATCTGTGAGTGAAGGGACTTTATCATTGGGTTCAAACTATATGGGGCTCAGTAGAATATGTAGAGAAATAGATTTAAAATCTTCTTTTTCAATTTAGATGAAAACTATTTTGGTTGTTGCAAGCATACTTGGGTAAAATTAACTGATATTGTATGATTAGAAAGTCTTGGGCCCCTGGGGTCTGAGAGACAGGGTCCAAAAGAGGAAATTTACAAATTTTTCTGAAAGCTTTTTTGTTTGTAGAAATAATAGGATTTTGATAGAATTTGGCTTGAAGCATCCTTAGGGGACCTTTGTATGAATGGTTGGCCTGACCCTCCAAGTGGCAGAGGATGGGGTCTAATAGGGCAAATAGAGGAAAATCTTAAAAATCATCTCCCCCATTAGTTTGGATACAGCAATTTAAGACAAACAAAACCAGGCAAATGATACAGGTCATGTGGACCTCTTGTTTTCCTCAAATCTTGGTCACTTGTTCTGGTTTTGTTAACATCACACATTACAAAAAAATGCTGAAAATACATAATAAAGAACATCATGTTACTGAATTAAATTTGTTTTAAATACTACAGCAACAACAAATTGTTATTAGCTGATCCTGGAGTCAGGAAAAGCTACAATATTAACACATGATTGTTGTACAGCACTGACCTTAAAACAATGCTTAACATTCACTTTCTACTTGTGTTTCAGGGAAAGTACTTTCTGGTGAGGGATGTAAATGCTAAGATGGATAGAAAGATGTCTTTGGAGCAATACCGTGCCCCGAACCTACACAAGGCTAACTGGCCTCACTCTGTGTATGCCTGTGGTCAGCCAACAGAGCGTGGTCTGTCCAAACTTCTGAACTACTTAGCCAAGGATGAGCCCACAGTAAGTAACTTGGACTGTCCAAACTCCTTTACTATTTAGCTAAAGACAAGCCTTAAGTAAGTAGCATGACCTGTACAAACTCCTGAACTAGTTAGCTAAAGACAAGCTTTAAGTAAGTAACATGACCAGTAGAAACTACTAAACTATTCAACTAAAGACAAGCTTTAAGTAAGTAACATTACCTGTCCAGGTTACACACCATGTATAGAGGTTACACAATGTAGATAGAGGTTACAAACTGTGTATAGAGGTTACACACTGTGTATAGAGGTTACACAATGTAGATAGAGGTTACACACCATGTATAGAGGTTACACAATGTAGATAGAGGTTACACACTGTGTATAGAGGTTACACAATGTATATAGAGGTTACACAATGTACATAGAGGTTACACACTGTGTATAGAGGTTACACACTGTGTATAGAGGTTACACAATGTATATAGAGGTTACACATTGTGTATAGAGGTTACACATTGAGGTTACACATTGTGTATAGAGGTTACACAATGTATATAGAGGTTACACATTGTGTATAGAGGTTACACATTGTATATAGAGGTTACACAATGTACATAGAGGTTACACACTGTGTATAGATGTTACACACTGTGTATAGATGTTACACAATGTATATAGAGGTTACACATTGTGTATAGAGGTTACACAATGTATATTGAGGTTACACATTGTGTATAGAGGTTACACAATGTATATAGAGGTTACACATTGTGTATAGAGGTTACACATTGTATATAGAGGTTACACAATGTATATAGAGGTTACACATTGTGTATAGAGGTTACACAATGTATATAGAGGTTACACATTGTGTATAGAGGTTACACAATGTACATGTGTGGTTTTTGTACTGATGTGTTTGGTATTTCTATCACTTGAGGGTTTTTTGTAATTTAAAAAAAAGAAATAACGAGAATGAAAGAAATATAAACTTTATATTAAAAAAAACTCAAGTTAGTGTGCCCTATTACCATGAAAAGCTGTTCAGATGATGAATTGACTTGTTTTGTATTCATGTATGCTTATGATATTAGTTGTGGCATCCATGACTAGTGTAATGAAATAAAGCTTATATATACCTAACTATTTCAGAACTATATGGAAATATTGTTATTTATGATAAGTAATAGATGGAGTTATTGTCCTTAGAGTAATGGAAATACCTATCAAAATAAAAAAAAATTATGTTTTAATTCCATTCACAGTTCAAGCAGGTCAAAGTTCATTCAACTCAAGAGAGTTCATTAGAGTTTAAGCAATGTGTGATCCATTTTTTTAAAAAGTATATTGTGATATTTTTTCAATGAGATTTAATTCTAACTTTACTAATATTGCCATCAGAAAGTAGTGTGCACTAAAGACAACTATGATTATGTTAGAACTATGCTGACCATAAAGGCTGATTGGCCTCTTGTTTTTGTTGAATCACAGCAATACATGTATTTCATTCTCTACAAAACTTGGATGATAAACTTATAAATAAGTTGGTTAATAATGTCTTCAGAAAATACATTTGGTGAGTTTTAATCTTTTTCTGTCTGATAACTAAGCCTACTTTGTTTGAAGTTGTAAGGGAATTTCATTAGTGGTAGGAATGTATCCTGTTACTTTAAATTGAACTGCTGAGTGAGAAAGTATTCTCCATCAGAAGCATTATTAAAGCGCTACCTGGCATGGAATAGAATTTCCTATCAAAGCTTCACGCTGGAATTTCCTTACAGTGTTTCATAATGGAATTTCCTGGATGTATTTAATGTTGACCTACTATTACAGTGTTGGATTATCACATGATTGCATGAGGTCCTCAGAATTTGTAATTGAGAATGTTTCAAGGAAGATGTTTCCTATTTGAAATGTATACTTCATCATCATTGCATGTGGCGTTTAGTGACAAGAGTTGACAACGACAGGGTGAACATTATCAGAACAACACCGTTCATTATGTCCAATTTCCTGAGTCAAAGATCTGATTGATTATCTCCCATTGTCCTGAAAATTACGGTGATTTTACTGTTGATATGGAACATATCTAAAATTGAAACTGTTCTCATTTATATTACCTAACTGGGAATTGTGTACTTCTGCCTTATCTAATCGTTTGATTATTTATCAAATCACGGTTTACTTTCAAAACTTTGAATGAATGAGTAATTGCAAAACATCTAATAAGAGCAAATCAGTCCACCTGTTGGTCTATATCACACAGTAGTACTCTAGACTGGGGAACCATCCTCCTGTTGGTCTGTATCACACAGTAGTAATATAGACTGGGGAACCATCCTCCTGTTGGTCTTTATCACACAGTAGTACTCTAGACTGGGGAACCATCCTCCTGTTGGTCTGTATCACACAGTAGTACTCTAGACTGGGGAACCATCCTCCTGTTGGTCTGTATCACACAGTAGTACTCTAGACTGGGGAACCATCCTCCTGTTGATCTTTATCACACAGTAGTACTCTAGACTGGGGAACCATCCTCCTGTTGGTCTGTATCACACAGTAGTACTCTAGACTGGGGAACCATCCTCCTGTTGGTCTGTATCACACAGTAGTACTCTAGACTGGGGAACCATCCTCCTGTTGGTCTGTATCACACAGTAGTACTCTAGACTGGGGAACCATCCTCCTGGGGAACCATCCTGGGGAACCATCCTCCTGTTGGTCTGTATCACACAGTAGTACTCTAGACTGAGGAACCATCCTCCTGTTGGTCTGTATCACACAGTAGTACTCTAGACTGGGGAACCATCCTCCAGTTGTTCTGTATCACACAGTAGTACTCTAGACTGGGGAACCATCCTCCTGTTGGTCTGTATCACACAGTAGTACTCTAGACTGGGGAACCATCCTCCTGTTGGTCTGTATCACACAGTAGTACTCTAGATTGAGGAACCATCCTCCTGTTGGTCTTTATCTTGAGGGAAATGAAATCAATATGAACTCTTGACCCCCTGGGATTTGGGGTAGAGCTCATAAGGGGACACTTAGTAAATTCTTTTAAATTGTTCTTATGTAGGAAATTGTTTGAATTATGTCCAGATTTAGTCTAATGTATCTTGGGATGAAAGGAACTGAAGTTTGTATAAACAGTGCATCAGACCCCTCCAGTAGGATGAAAGTGTTTTGACTAAATTTGTTCGCTAACCTCTGAGGCTGAGGGAAGCAATTTTCTATTAGTTGTCTGTCTTTGCCCTTGCTTCCTGAGGGATAGAGCCCAATTTTGCAAATCATCAAAATTTTGTTTTTATCTAAGAAATGACAGAATTTGGTTCAGATTTGGTCTCAACATCCTTTGATAAAGGGAACTGAACGTTGTGGAAACCCATCTGAGGGTTGAGGGACATGGCCCAATAGAGCAGAGAGATGTTATCTATCTTCTTTTATTGCAGTGAAACTGTTTTGACCTAATTTCATTTCAGATATCCCTGTGTGAAGAGAACTCAATTTTATGTTTATCAAAGGGGCAAAACACGATGTAGAAAATGGAGTGAAGATTAATTTTTTTTCTTTTTCTGCCTTGATGAAGGCATTTTATCAGAAGATGCAGTGTAGCTTGATGTTTTTAAATACCTCTTTTTTGGGTAAAATTATCACTGTAATTATGAATAAAATGTTATGAAGTGGAAATTGAAATAGGCAGGTGGAATAAAACAGTCCTGTGGGCCTTTTTTTCTCTATGTAACCATTTTAAAACACTAGCTACCATGTACTGCCTGGCTAGAGAGAACTTCTCTTTATTTCAATTGTATAAGTATCAAACTAGAGAGCCAGAGGTTCTGGGTTTGAATCATTAAATGAGGAGGAAGTGGAATAAATAATGACCTCTGTTACATGTAAGGTTTAATACTTAAACCTGTGTAAGTGAGTATTTCTCAGTACAAAGGAGATTGCTCAATACTTGTATCAGTTTGTCATTATCCATAATGGTTAATGGACACAAAGGTTATCATTCTATGAAGGTGATTTAAACTGATATTTGGGATATTTTAGCACAAACTATTCTGACAGGATCAGGAAAATTTAAGTCTGAAGCTTGGTGTTTATTGAGTTGCACAAGCTCCAGAGTCAGAAAAGGAATAAAATATTGGATATAAGGAGACAAATCTGTTCTGGATTTGAAAGGTGTAAAAATCAACAATAATTTGTATAATCTGAGTGAAATACTTTTAATTGTAGATATCAAAACCATTTTTATATACAAAGCCTTCCTGAAATAATTCAAGTATATCTGTCATGGAGTGGTATATCTGAACATTTCATGATGATGAGTAGGAGGAGGAGGAGGAAGATGATGATTACTTTTAAGCTGCTAATTTTGAGAAATATGTGAAAATCAAGAATTTGTGGCATATTATGAATATACATGTATTTTATAGCATAGTCCAATTTGATCCATCCAACTTTACACATGAGAGTTAAGGCTGCTCATTAATGTATTCATAAAAATATACATTGTTGCAATTTCAACATTCCAATGATGTCACAATTTGTTAAATTACACCAGCTTTGTGTTGTCTGCACTGGCTGACATGTTTGTATACTTATGTGTAGTTCAATCCTTTTATATATTTTGTGTAGTATCATTTGTATCTGTCCATCCATTTGCCATTCCATCTATCAATGTTTTCGTCTGACCTTCTGCTATCTTGTCCAGGCTCTTCCTCCTACACCACTTGTCACTGTGATTTATATTAGGGGTATGGCACTTTGACCTACATATTGATCTTTGACCTATATATTGATCTTTGACCTATATATTGATCTTTGACCTACATATTGATATTTGACCTATATATTGGTCTTTGACCTACATATTGATATTTGACCTATATATTGACATAAAGAAAATATTTAGCTATATTGCATTCATATTTTACATTTGTTGGGGGACTGTAATTCCCTGAAATGTCTTGTTGTCACTAACATTATCTCCCCTTTTTGAATACATTCATTACTGGGTTCACTGGCCACAGTCCCTTTACCCATGGTCATTAGGTGTACTGTGGACTATTAGCAAGTGATTTATCACCCACACTTTTCCATGGTGAGAGGTGTGAAGTGCAGCAAATGTAAGATTGCTATGAGCAGAATTGGATGATTGGTATTAGATCTGATAGTTCACACTTATCTGATTATCTGCCCATTTTCTGGACTTCTGGTCGATGTTGACAGCACTCAGCGTTAGGTGAGTGTCCCGTATCAGGGTTTTACTGTGCTCTCTGATGCTAAATGGTATTAAAATCAACGTGGCAAAACCTAAACTTCAGCTCTAAAACACATTAGTAGGAGTCTGTTACCCTAACTAGGTTTTATGCACACACTTTACAGCAGGTTATTGTTGGCTTTTATTTCCGACCATTAAGTCCTAAAGTTAAGCTCTCAGGAAGTGGATTATGGGAGGTGCTGTAATATCAACTCGGCGTAGAAACACATATTATATCTAATCCTAAGATGTTTGATATTCTAAATTTAGAGTGAATTAGATTTTATTTATGTATTTCATCAATTGTCCCTAATTACATTGAGAGATTTGTCAGAGTTAATTGTAGTGAAGTTTTGCCTAACTTTAGTCTGAAAACTAATTAGGTCATGTCAGTAAGGGACTGGAAGGAAAATCTCAATGTAATAATGAGTCTAGTGATTTGTTCCTTCTATTAGCTTTGTCAAACTCTTGTGATACTTTCCTAAAACATTCTATACTATATAAGTCTTTCTCAATGACCCTTTAACTGACTATACAGATGCAAGAAAATGGAGCTTTTATCCTAAAATTCAATAAAATTGCCAACCTAGAGTTTCAAGATGATATTTTGGAAGAAAGGATTTTGTAAATCAATATGTACGTTAAAAGTTCTTGATGTGCCAGCTTTTTCCTGATATTGTAGAAAAACAAAGCTATTTAGATTTACAAATATGACTACAGTACTGTAACAAAAGACCAGCATCTAGAATACAGAAAAGGCTTCTGAAATATAAATATGACTAATGTAACTGAGGACCAGCCACTAGAATACAGAAAAGGCTTCTAAAATATGAATATGACTACTGTTACAATGGACCAGCCTTAGAATACAGAAAAGGCTTCTGAAATATAAATATGGCTAGTATAACTAAGGACCAGCCTCTAGAATAGAGAAAAGGCTTCTGAAATATAAATATGACTACTGTTACAAAAGACCAGCCTGTAGAATACAGAAAAGGCTTCTGAAATATATAAATATGGCTACTGTAACAAAGGACCAGCCTCTAGAATACAGAAAAGACTTCTGAAATATAAATATGACTAGTGTAACTAAGGATCAGCCTCTAGAATACAGAAAAGGCTTCTGAAATATAAATATGGCTAGTGCTACAAAGGACTGAAATATAAGTATGGCTAGTGTTACAAAGGACCAGCCTCTACAATACAGAAAAGGCTTCTGAATATATAGATATGGCTACTGTAACAAAGGACCAGCCTCTAGAATACAGAAAAGGCTTCTGAATATATAAATATGGCTAGTGTTACAAAGGACCAGCCTGTAGAATACAGAAAAGGCTTCTGAAATATGAATCTTGCTAGAGTTACAAAGGACCAGCCTGTAGAATACAGAAAAGGCTTCTGAAATATAAATATGGCTAGTGTTACAAAGGACCAGCCTGTAGAATACAGAAAAGGCTTCTGAATATATAAATATGGCTAGTGTTACAAAGGACCAGCCTGTAGAATACAGAAAAGGCTTCTGAAATATAAATATGGCTAGTGTTACAAAGGACCAGCCTGTAGAATACAGAAAAGACTTCTGAAATATAAATATGGCTAGTGTTACAAAGGACCAGCCTCTAGAATACAGAAAAGGCTTCTGAATATATAGATATGGTTACTGTAACAAAGGACCAGACTGTAGAATACAGAAAAGGCTTCTGAAATATAAATATGGCTAGTGTTAAAAAGGACCAGCCTCTAGAATACAGAAAAGGCTTCTGAAATATAAATATGGCTAGTGCTACAAAGGACCAGCCTGTAGAATACAGAAAAGGCTTCTGAAATATAAATATGACTACTGTTACAAAAGACCAGCCTCTAGAATACAGAAAAAGCTTCTGAAATATAAATGTGGCTTCTGTAATTGAGGATCAGCCTCTAGGGTACAGAAAATGCGTCTGTGATATAAATATGACTGCTGTAAATGAGGACCAGCCTGTAGGATACAGAAAAGACTTCTGAAATATAAATTTTGTAACTGCAACAGATGCCAGATATGATATGAGTTTGTGTTAGAATCATACTAGTGTTTCTTCCAAATCCAAATACTTCATACGCAATGGGTTAGTGATTAGGGACAGGCAGGATTCTGGTTTCCTAGACCTACATGGAAAGATGGGCAGCGGTATGGATTCGATGACCAACACATAATTGGCAAAACTCACCAATCTGGTCTCCAGTGTATCTGAAAATGAATTTGAGAATGATTCCCCTTGAAATACACACTCTTCTATAACTGGACAGATATTGGTAGAGTATAGGCTCAGGCCAATCTAACATTTGGCTTCGCTTCGAGGTCACTTTAACATGGATTCTGTCAACACATTGAAGCTTATAGCTTTGTGTTGGTGGCGTCGTGGGGTCGGGACTTTACAGTCATAGACATTATTTGATTATGATAACAAGCTCATAGAAATCTCATTAGATCACTGACTTTTATACATAGAAGACTTTGTAATTGTATGTCATTACAATAAATCATAAAACATCCTTATGAAGAAACATTTCTATACATTGTCGTAACTAGGTCAGTATCTAATTTATTTTGATAATCCAATTACATACCATCACAAAGTCAGTTAAGGAAGTGTCTAGTCTAGATATTACAGGTCAGTCAGTACCATTTACCAAAAGGACTGTGATGCATTACAAATTTAATCCTGGATGTCATGAAACTGTGATCCAATGAAATGAAAATAGTACAAGAACACGCTATTTCTAGAAATCATTATCACAATATTGTCTGTTTCTATTGTTATAGATTCCTGCCGCAGAAAACAAAATATCTTGTGAAGGTGTGGTTATATATAGTTCAACATATGTTCATTGTATACAAAGTAACATGTCCATAACTCATGAATCTCTCCAGCAGTTTACAGTTACATTAGGAGGTATACAACAGAAATAACCTGTAACTGTAGTTATTAACACTTTACTAGATTTATCCAAGTGATAATTCATATGTATCGACAATTTGATGTTGCCAAATATAGAACTTGAATGTAGTGAAAATTTACAGAGTGAAACAAATCATATATAGAATGTCTTAATTACTGGTGTGAAACATAACCAAACATAGAATATATAGACTGAAACACACATCAAACATAGAACAGATAGACTGAAACATACATCAAATATAGAACAGATAGACTGAAACACTCATCAAATATAGAACAGATAGACTGAAACACACATCAAATATAGAACAGATAGACTGAAACACACATCAAACATAGAACAGATAGACTGAAACACAAATTGAACAGTGAAATAGATTCAACAAGCATCTTATATTTTACTTTTTTTTTTAATGGATCAGTTATGATATGACTGACTTCTAATAGAACTAGTTAATACCAATTCATGGCTCAATGGCTCAATTTATTGGGATCATCAGGTAAATGATTTAAAGTTAATGCAATATCAAATATCCTTTGGAAACAACATTTATTTGAAATCTGATAAGGATGGAGGACACCATCTGCCTCCAGGATAAAATTTGACTGGTCAGGATTATGACATTGATTTCTTTGATGTCTATATATAAGTAAATTGTTGTTTATTTATTGTTCTATAAAGAATGAATTTTACAAGAATTAGATCATTTATCCATAATATGTACTTATCTTAGCTCTCATTCAAAATATTGAAGAAAATTCATACTAAGTTTACTGCTTAGCATAAATATGGAACTTGAATCAAAACATCTTTTTGACAGAAGAGTGGTCTTTATTCCTCATCATGATATTATTTTCAATTTAGTAAAAAGAGCGGGTAGCTCTCCAGAGCCTGAGCAAAGCTCTAAAAAGATTGGAGTTTGGGAATAAAGATCAGAGACTGAACAGATCTGACCTTCCCTCCCATAACTGATGCCTTTATTTTTTGATGGTCCAAAAACCAGAAGTGATAATTGGCTGAATGATCAAAAAAAGTGGAGATACTGTGAGGAAATATAGTTTTGATATATATGGATACAACCTGATTATCTGAAAGTGAATATATAAGAAATAAAAATGTATGTCCTATTCTTGTGAAAGTGATAAGATAACGCTGTAAATTAATTGCTCCTCTGGTACTCAGATATTTGCATAGCCAAAGCACTAAAAGCTATGTACTCTATACTTTAGTCGAACATTTTCTTTGAATTAATAAAAAATACATTCTAACACAATAAATGTAGTTGTACTGCCTCATCAAAAGCTCAATTATATCAACCATGCTGGCCATTTTGTAATATACACTGTAATTACACATAGTTTTCTTGAACAGCAATTTCATCTCAGGTTCCAACAGTCGTATTTAGCTCACTCTTGCCTGAAATGATTCTGAGATGGTCCTGACCAAGTGTTCTTGTTTCTGAAAAGCACATTTTACACCTCTTTCCCATTTCCATGGTGATGGTGAGCTGAAAATTTGGATGAAGTAGAGAAACAGAATTGAGCAGTGTTGTTTGACCATGAAAGCTCATGGACTTCTTGTTTTTATTTACAGGAGATTTTCCTGTTTAACATGCGAGAGGAGCCTGTCCTGTTCGTAGATAATGGAAATGACATGGTGCCATTTTCACTCCGTGACCAAGAAAACATACACCACCTGGTGATCTTTGGACGCAGTCCTACAGAAGCAGATGAGGCAGAGGCTAGGATCAGGAAGGAGGTAAATCAGAGGGAATGATATTACACAATTCTTAGCTATCAAGTTGTGTAAAAATCCAGGTGATTCATTCTCATAATCATGATTTATAGCTTCATCATTATGATAATTATAGACTAATCATGAAATATCTGTCATACAACAGGTGATTGACTTGGCAACAATGAAAGAAGAAAATAAGTTTTATTTTTATAATGACCTGGACAACATGCAGAGGGAGCCACATGAGATGCATATTCAGTATGAAGACAAACTGCTTGTTTCTGAAGAGGTGTATGCCCGCCATATTTTATGTAATCAACATGTAAGGTAGGTATACACCATATATATATAGGTATACAGTATATCTATGTACATATACACTATAAGTAGGTATACACTATATCTATGTAGGTATACAGTATATCTATGTACATATACACTATATCTATGTAGGTATACACTATATCTATGAAGGTATACACTATGTCTATGAAGGTATACACTATGTCTATGTAGGTATACACTATATCTATGTAGGTATACACTATATCTATATCTATGTAGGTATACACTATGACTATGTAGGTATACACTATATCTATGAAGATATACACCATATCTATGTAGGTATACACTATGTCTATGAAGGTATACACTATGTCTATGTAGGTATACACCATATCTATGAAGATATACACTATGTCTATGTAGGTATACACTATGTCTATGTAGGTATACACTATATCTATGTAGGTATACACTATGTCTATGAAGGTATACACTATGTCTATGTAGGTATACACTATATCTATGTAGGTATACACTATGTCTATGTAGGTATACACTATGTCTATGTAGGTATACACTATATCTTTAAGAGTGAATATCATATAAATGTACTTGAATACATCATATCTATATGGGTATATATATATATATATACACTATGTAATTAAACACTATTTATGTAGATTGACATCATATGTATGTAGGTATACACTGTATATATGTAGATTCAAATTGTTTTCTGTATATGTATACACCCTATGATGATGATTTGTATACACTTAAGTTTTTACCTTAAATATACCTGTTTTGTTTTCAGATACCAGCGTTTGTGTTTTCCTTTTTCTGGAGCCCCAAGATACCAGGATGTTGATGCCTTTTTAAATGTCTTTAAGGTATAAATAATAGATGTAAATATCCAATAACATTTCATTATGTACACCTGTTCATTTACCATTTACACATGTACCTCTACACTTAGTTAGAACTAGGTTCCTATAAACTTTTACACCTGTGCACTTTAACACCTCATACACTTATACTAGTGTACATTAAAACACCTGTGCACTTTTACACCTCATACACTTATACTAGTTTGCATTAAAACACCTGTGCACTTTTACACCTCATGCACTTATACTAGTGTACATTAAAACACCTGTGCACTTTTACACCTCATACACTTGTACTAGTGTACATTAAAACACCTGTGCACTTTTACACCTCATACACTTATACTAGTGTACATTAAAACACCTGTGCACTTTTACACCTCATACACTTATACTAGTGTACATTAAAACACCTGTGCACTTTTACACCTCATACACTTATACTAATGTACATTAAAACACCTGTATACACTTACCCAACCACCGATACCCTTGTATTCTTTTGTTTCTTTTTATATATACATCTGTAGACTTCTAACCTGTTCATATATGTAGCTGTTACACCTGTACACTGACATACCCCTACACTAATACATCTTTACAGACATTTTCTAAAACAATTGTACACCTGTACAAACTGGGAACACCCCCTGTACACATAAACACCTGTACACTTTTATCTGATATTTCTGTACACTGGTACACCTGTACATTGATACACCTGTATATTTATACACCTGTACACTTATTGACATATATGCTTATACACTTATACATTTTTGGACCTGTACACTGATACACCTGTACACTTATGTATATGTTCACGGATACACCTACTGCAAAGCAACATATTTTTGTGTGTTTTTAATTTTCATGTATAGAATGGGTGATTAAAATTCATGAAAATTAATTGCTGTGAAATGGCTTCAATCACATGAACAGTAGGCTTTTTACATGTAAACTTGGGTTTATGATATATGAATGATAATTTCTATTAAACAATAGATTTTTACTTGTCCAGTGTAAAATTATCTGGATTTTGTTACATAGAACATTGTCCCTTCACATTCATTGATTTTTTCCTAATTAAAATCTTCAAGTGACATAATTATGGTAAAGTTAGGCTGGACTTGACAGGACTCTGGTTAAACTAACTCACAAAATCATGCTTACTTGGTATAAATGCCACCTCAATAAGAAAAGGCATGCATGTGAAAACAAAAAGTGAACATAACTCAACTTTTGCAAAAACAATTAGCCATATGTGGTAAAATACTACCTTGTACAACTCTACACATAGTATGCAATCAGTCATTAATAATCTGGAAGTTGGTGACTTGCACTAAAATTGACAGATGGAACTGAAAACTGGTCCTATATACATACAGATTTATGATGTAAATCCCAAATTGAAGTCACTGCAAAAAAATGTTACACGTTGAAATTGCATAATTAATCTAGTTTATAATATTCACTAATACACCTGTAGACTTATATAGACTGTTCATACAACTCTATGCCTATGTAACTGTACATTCTTTCAGAATAGGTTAAAACCCCATAGTGTTTTGAAATTTTCAGCTGTATAGTTGTGATAATACTACAGTATATCTTTATACATTACCAGTAAATTTCAGTTTTGGACACTTTAAATACCATGATATATTGATGCAAATTTCCCAACCCAAAATAGCCTTTCACTAACTTTTTGTATAATATTGTTACTAAGTAACACATTATATCTCTCTGTATTACAACTATCTGATTACAGCAATCCAGTAAGTATTTGGAGAAGTCTTCTCTCTATAAACCAGCCATGCTGTTTACCTGTCAGACAGGTACAGGACGCTCCACCATCGCCATGGTCATGGGCTGCCTCATGGCTGCGCACAAGACTGGATTCCCCCATGAGACCAGGTGTGTAATCTATATATTATAAACAAACATGAGCTCGCCTATTGATAGATCAGGAGAGGTGCTGTCTAAAGAAAGCTTGTATCAACCATCTGTCACAAGTTCATACTTATAGAACCAATACTCTTTCTGGGACTAAAGCCGTGTATATGCACGGTTAGAAACAGATATATCATTAACCATGATGCACACTCTACTCTCAAGGTAAATAAACAGAGGCCAGAAGGGAAAATGGTAGTGTCTTCACCTCCAAGGCACTGCTTGTTCTAAAGCACTTAGTGTATCTAACCAATTTTAACATTTAACAAAAGAAGAACAAGATTTTTAAATGTTGCATAAAGGAGTTACCCTTTGGGCAAAAATGAGGGGCAGATCCACAAAGGGGAGTAATTGTAACACTTAAAATTCTTCTCCTAAAGGACTACTAACCAGGGGTGGAGTGTCTTTTGGTGTAGGTTGAGCCATTAGATTTTCGACTCTTTTGCCATTTTTGGTTGAACAGAAATGGATAAAAGTTCTCCAGTACCATGATACCTCTCAGGTTTTGCATGGGTTTGAAGACTTGGCCTGTTGCTATAACTCTCATATTATATACTTTGTACAGGTATATTCTAAATTTGTTAAAAATCCAGGTAAGTTATTGAGGCGTGGAGACCACTTTTAGTGTCTATACAAGTTTTGGTACTTACTGTCGCAATTCTCCATCAATTTTTTTCCAAAACTTCTGCTTTAAAACTTAAATAGTAGTGATATGATATTTGACCAGTGGCTAACTTAAATGTGTAGTGTTGTGAGGGTTAGATAAACATAATACTTATATCTAAAATGATATGTAAAGTGTCTAAAATTCCAATCTTAATACATTATACAAATTTGTTTCATCTAAACCAGACATACTTTGTATGCACATCAGTTTTGTAAATGTTTGATTTCTAGATTTAGTGAAACTTGTGTATTGCAAACCTTTGTGTATCAATGTTAAAAACATACAGTATCATTGTAGGGGGAAGCATTCCCAGAAGGCCTCACAAGACAAGGGAGACTTCCGTGCTGTACAGCGATTGGTCAAACTTCTGCCCAATGGTCAGACTATTAGAAATCAGGTGTGTTATATTAACACTTCATACTGATGTCATAATTTCTGAAAATATTTGCTTTCCTGAATTATCACAGCAACTGAATTATTTTTACAGAAGTGTAATCATATATGATTATCTGATATTGAAACTCTACCCTGTTTTATATACAAAATAGTTAATTTTTATATAACAGAACTTTAATGGATTCTCTGTAGGTTGTAAGACAAAATGAATCAGTACCATCATATTGTTTTAGTTAAACGTGTAGCCATGAACTCTAATAATTACAGTGGTATCTAGGTGTCTAACATTAATTGTTTTGTTTATTTGTACTTTTGTTTATTTGTATGGACTTTCTCATGAGAGCTAATAACCCTATGACTAATACCTGGATATTTTGTCTATAGTTACCAAGGACAGAATGTAAAAATTGTTTTGTTATATATAACCTTCATCTACTTTATAGGTAAGATGGCTCAATTATCAAATAAAATTTCAAACAAGATTATGAAAAAATACAATGTTAGTAAGATTTTGTTTAACATTCATTTTAAAACTGAAATAAGTTACTGTAAAATTATCAATTTTTGTTGGTTTTTTTTTTGTTGTTGTTGATTTTCTGGTCAGTCTTAATCCACAAATTCATATGTCATGAACTACTGAAATTAGCATACATTGTAAGTAGATCTATTGAGCTATAACTATCCACAAAAAACTAAGTATTTATGAAATAATTTTTAAAAAAAACACACAAAAACTAATTGTATTGCATCTGTTAATTTATAATGGTCAATTGTCATAGTTTGAGGATTGACCAGCAAGTTAAAGGTGAGTAGTAGGTTTTTTAACAGCTGGTCATAACATTCCATTTGTGATACAAATGCTCTGTGGAGGTCAAACTTCTATACTACAAAGTAATTTGTAGTTAACACTTTCATCAGCTGCTCAGCTTGTAGTCAATTTAGTGTTGCAAGTGTTTTGACAGCTATCACGACATCTGATGAGTTGTTTTATCTGGTCAGTAAAATCAGATTAAAGTGAATCCCTTTATCTACATATCATGTGTGACTAGTGTAAATTGGTTGTGACACACATGACACACAATCCTATCCATGTAGATTTTTCTCTGAAGTCATTATAAAATCACTCTTCCCTACTGTACCTATATACTGTTTCAAACTACAGTGACAGTATGGAATTGTTTGTTGTGAGAGTACATACATAGTTTTATAAAAATCATTATCATACCACTATACTGAAGTGGATAAAGCATCTAGCAATAAAGTGGAAAACTTGTGATTTCATTTCTTTTTACTTGATATTAAGTTATGATAACAGTAGACACTTGAGAATTTCAGATACCAAAAGTAGCTGCAGGAATATCTCATTAATCCTTAACAGATTTTATTTATTTTTACAATTGGTGTTGGTCATCATACAGACCTGGTATCACCTACTGTTATCACCTGTTTACTGACCAGTATTATCATTTGTTTTATACCTATATGATCTGTCTACAGTGACCTGTTATCTACTGTCTAAAATGACCTGCTTTCACCTGGCTACAATGACCTGCATAACTTGTTTGTGTACTTGCATAACCTGTCTACAGTGACCTGTTATCACCTGTCTATAACAAGTGACCTATAACTTGTCTACAGTGATATGTTATAAACTGTCTACAGTGACCTGCTATCACCTGTCTATAACAAGTGACATATAACTTGTCTACATTGATCTGTTATCACCTGTCTACATTGACCTGTTATCACCTGTCTGTATACCTGTATCACCTGTTTGTATACCTGTATCACCTGTCTGCATTGACCTGTTATCACCTGTCTGTATACCTGTATCACCTGTCTGTATACCTGTATCACCTGTCTACATTGACCTGTTATCACCTGTCTGTATACCTGTATCACCTGTCTACAGTGACCTGTTATCACCTGTCTACATTGACCTGTTACTACCTGTCTAGTCACCTGATATCACCTGTCTTTGTACCTGTTATTACATAACCTTACCCACATTATGTTTAATTTTAGGTTGATGCTGCCATTGATGCTTGCTCAGAGCTGTATAATCTGCGTTCTGAAATCCTACACAGCAAACATACGTTGGAAGGCATCAAAACTGACTATGTACTTGATGTAAGTAGTTTAATTGCAAGCTTTACAAAGAAATTGGTTATTAGTCTTTTGTATTTAAGTCACAATAGATGAAGGCCAATCTTTTTACTTTATTTTGTTGTCATTATATACTGTTGTCATATACTGTTTTTATTGTCTGTATGTAAATAGAAGAATATTTATGTACATTGGGATAACTATTTGATACACACCAAGTAAAGATTTTGTAATATTTATGTAAAAACTGTAAATGCACTTTGATGCATATGCAAATACAGAAAATAGTTAAGGATCTTAATATTTACATTTGATAGCAACAGTTATTTTTTATAAAACTTTCAAAAGAGAAACTATCTTATACAAATCATGAGAATACCAGCAAATTGAACTGCCATTTTGGATTCATTGACAATGCCATAACAACAAAATAGCTCCAACAGCAGGTGTTGGGAGTGTTGGTGTGGAGTTTTACTACACATTATAGTGTCAGTATGGCTCTCTGTTATAGGTGTTGGTAATGTTGGTGTGGAGTTTTACTACACATTATAGTGTCAGTATGGCTCTCTGTTATAGGTGTTGGTAATGTAGGTGTGGAGTTTTACTACACATTATAGTGTCAGTATGGCTCTCTGTTATAGGTGTTGGTGTGGAGTTTTACTACACATTATAGTGTCAGTATGGCTCTCTGTTATAGGTGTTGGTAATGTTGGTGTGGAGTTTTACTACACATTATAGTGTCAGTATGGCTCTCTGTTATAGGTGTTGGTAATGTTGGTGTGGAGTTTTACTACACATTATAGTGTCAGTATGGCTCTCTGTTATAGGTGTTGGTAATGTAGGTGTGGAGTTTTACTACACATTATAGTGTCAGTATGGCTCTCTGTTATAGGTGTTGGTAATGTAGGTGTGGAGTTTTACTACACATTATAGTGTCAGTATGGCTCTCTGTTATAGGTGTTGGTGTGGAGTTTTACTACACATTATAGTGACAGTATGGCTCTCTGTTATAGGTGTTGGGAGTGTTGGTGTGGAGTTTTACTACACATTATAGTGTCAGTATGGCTCTCTGTTATAGGTGTTGGTAATGTAGGTGTGGAGTTTTACTACACATTATAGTGTCAGTATGGCTCTCTGTTATAGGTGTTGGGAGTGTTGGTGTGGAGTTTTACTACACATTATAGTGTCAGTATGGCTCTCTGTTATAGGTGTGTTTTACTACACATTATAGTGTCAGAAGTGTTGGTGTTGGTCTGGAGTTTTACTACACATTATAGTGTCAGTATGGCTCTCTGTTATAGGTGTTGGGAGTGTTGGTGTGGAGTTTTACTACACATTATAGTGTCAGTATGGCTCTCTGTTATAGGTGTTGGGAGTGTTGGTGTGGAGTTTTACTACACATTATAGTGTCAGTATGGCTCTCTGTTATAGGTGTTGGGAGTGTTGGTGTGGAGTTTTACTACACATTATAGTGTCAGTATGGCTCTCTGTTATAGGTGTTGGGAGTGTTGGTGTGGAGTTTTACTACACATTATAGTGTCAGTATGTCTCTCTGTTATAGGTGTTGGTGTGGAGTTTTACTACACATTATAGTGTCAGTATGGCTCTCTGTTATAGGTGTTGGTAATGTAGGTGTGGAGTTTTACTACACATTATAGTGTCAGTATGGCTCTCTGTTATAGGTGTTGGGAGTGTTGGTGTGGAGTTTTACTACACATTATAGTGTCAGTATGGCTCTCTGTTATAGGTGTTGGGAGTGTTGGTGTGGAGTTTTACTACACATTATAGTGTCAGTATGGCTCTCTGTTATAGGTGTTGGGAGTGTTGGTGTGGAGTTTTACTACACATTATAGTGTCAGTATGGCTCTCTGTTATAGGTGTTGGGAGTGTTGGTGTGGAGTTTTACTACACATTATAGTGTCAGTATGGCTCTCTGTTATAGGTGTGTTGGGAGCTCTCTGTATAGGTGTGGAGTTTTACTACACATTATAGTGTTGGTGTGTACACAGTATGGCTCTCTGTTATAGGTGTTGGGAGTGTTGGTGTGGAGTTTTACTACACATTATAGTGTCAGTATGGCTCTCTGTTATAGGTGTTGGGAGTGTTGGTGTGGTGTTTTACTACACATTATAGTGTCAGTATGGCTCTCTGTTATAGGTGTTGGGAGTGTTGGTGTGGAGTTTTACTACACATTATAGTGTCAGTATGGCTCTCTGTTATAGGTGTTGGGAGTGTTGGTGTGGAGTTTTACTACACATTATAGTGTCAGTATGGCTCTCTGTTATAGGTGTTGGGAGTGTTGGTGTGGAGTTTTACTACACATTATAGTGTCAGTATGGCTCTCTGTTATAGGTGTTGGTGTGGAGTTTTACTACACATTATAGTGACAGTATGGCTCTCTGTTATAGGTGTTGGGAGTGTTGGTGTGGAGTTTTACTACACATTATAGTGTCAGTATGGCTCTCTGTTATAGGTGTTGGGAGTGTTGGTGTGGAGTTTTACTACACATTATAGTGTCAGTATGGCTCTCTGTTATAGGTGTTGGGAGTGTTGGTGTGGAGTTTTACTACACATTATAGTGTCAGTATGGCTCTCTGTTATAGGTGTTGGAGTGTTGGTGTGGAGTTTTACTACACATTATAGTGTCAGTATGGCTCTCTGTTATAGGTGTTGGGAGTGTTGGTGTGGAGTTTTACTACACATTATAGTGTCAGTATGGCTCTCTGTTATAGGTGTTGGGAGTGTTGGTGTGGAGTTTTACTACACATTATAGTGTCAGTATGGCTCTCTGTTATAGGTGTTGGTAATGTAGGTGTGGAGTTTTACTACACATTATAGTGTCAGTATGGCTCTCTGTTATAGGTGTTATAGGTTTTGTCTATAGGAAACACAAATTGTGGAGTGGAGAACACAACAAATGTCTGTCATAATAGAAATAAATATCCTGGGAACATTCAGTAATTCAGGTTGACATTTAATACTGAGTTTCTTTATCAGAGGAGCATCGACAGGTTGTACTTACCATAACTGAGTTATCACATGGTAGCAACTGTCATACTGGTGTTGAAATAGGTTCAATAATGTGTATACCCAATGGCAGAGAATCTACACAAGTCTGCTGTAGGTATTGATTGTATATCACATGTAGGATACTTCAGCTTTGTCTTACCACAATATTCTATCTGTAACACTGATCATACTGTATCTCAATAACACATAGTTAAAATGTATCTTTAGTAATACATAGCTATACTGTATCTTTAGTAACACTTAGTTATACTGTTTCCATAGTAACACATAGTTAAAATGTATCTTTTGTAACACATAGTTATATTGTATCTTTAGTAACACATAGTTATATTGTATCTTTAGTAACACATAGTTATACTTTATCTTTAGTAACACATAGTTATACTTTATCTTTAGTAACACATAGTTATACTGTTTCCATAGTAACACATAGTTATACCGTATCTTTAGTAACACATAGTTACCATTTGTCTACAGTAACAGATAATGAGTAACATTAAACATCTAATCTAACCAGTTTGTTATCTTTTAAGGGTAAACAAAAATTCTCTTCACCAACTTGATTATAACAGAATGGATCTCATGTATTCAGTGTGTTCTAGCCTCTCCCTGTACTCTGGCTGATGGTACTTTATAGAGGTCTGCTGACAATGGAATATGATAGGAGTACATCGTGCTACAGAGTCTGTCAGAATGGTGTCAAACCACTTATATATAGTAGATAGCTCCTGTCACCAAGCAGAATGATCACACAGATTTAATGGTTTCTCCTCAACAAATTGCATCTAATACTTGTACCCAAATGTACTGGTTGTATAGAGTTCATGTCTGGTCACAAGTCATACATGGCAGCTTTTGTTCTTACACTGGTCACAAGTCATACTTGGAAGCTTTTGTTCCTACACTGGTCACAAGTCATACATGGCAGCTTTTGTTCTTACACTGGTCACAAGTCATACATGGCAGCTTTTGTTCCTACACTGGTCACAAGTCATACATGGCAGCTTTTGTTCCTACACTGGTCACAAGTCATACATGGCAGCTTTTGTTCCTACACTGGTCCAAGTATAAAGATTTCAATGTCTGTTCTTACACTGGTCCAAATATAAAGATTTCAATGTCTGTTCCTACACTGTTCCTTATATAAAGATTTCAATGTCTGTTCCTACACTGTTCCTTATATAAATATTTCATTGTCAGTTCCTACACTGTTCCTTATATAAAGATTTCAATGTCTGTTCCTACACTGTTCCTTATATAAAGATTTCAATGTCTGTTCCTATACTGTTCCTTATATAAATATTTCATTGTCAGTTCTTAAATATTTCAATGTCTGTTCCTACACTGTTCCTTATATAAATATTTCAATGTCTGTTCTTACACTAGTCCATGTATATCAGGTTGGAATGAATTTATTTTTTGTTCCTAACCTTGTCTAGAAGTATAAGATTGGATAGATTTCAGTATGTATCCCTACACTGATCCCTGGATAATGCCATAAGCAGATTTCAGTGTCTGTTTCCCTCTGTTGTAAGTGGTCCAGGCATAATGTCTTAAAGAGGTGATTTCAACCACTGCTTCTACACTTGTCCTAGATTATTGAGCTGAGGAATTGAAGACTAACAAGATTGTCTCATTCAACCAAATGTGAACTTCCTCTTTAAATGATAAATGAATTATTGTTACAGAATAAAAGTGCCAAAGAGACATTGTACAGGCAATGTTGTGACTACCTAGAGCGCTATGTGTTCCTCATCGTGTTTAATGCATACCTTACAGAACAGGTTAGTATCCTTAATGTTAACACTGAACAGGTAAAATCTATATTGTATACACTGGTAAAATCTATATTATATACACTGAACAGGTAAAATCTATATTGTATACGCTAGACAGATAAATATCTGTATTGTTAAAATTGAACAGATAAGTATCTATATTGTTGAAACTGAGCAGATGGATATTCAGTGTGACCTTGCCTTTGTCTTTGACAGTATCCACTGTGATCTTATTATTGTCTTTCATCTTTATCATTCATGACCTTGACTCCTTTAGTGACAATCTGCACTGTGACCTTGCCTTTTCTAATGGCAGTATCGTTGTGACCTTAACATTATCTTTTATCAGTATCACTATGACCTTGATCTTGTTTTGTGACAATATCCATTGTTACCTTGCTTTGTCTGTTATCAGTATCATTATGACATTAACCCTGTTTTGTTTTAACAGTATCACTATGACCTTGACCTTGTTTTGTGACAATATCCATTGTTACCTTGCGTTGTCTGTTATCAGTATCATTATGACATTAACCCTGCTTTTTTACAGTATCCAGTATGGTTTACATCAGACTTCACACAATGGATGCAGCAACAGCCAGAACTGACAAGGTTGATGGGGACTATCTGTGACCCCACCTGTCTGGCCCCTACTGATCTCATCTTCAAGGGGATTCAGTACCTGGTAAATACATATGTCTTATTCTAACTATTTTCAAGGTAATAGAAGTGTAGATGCATCAGTTTCATTTGAATGTGATATAGTGCAGGGTGAGAATATATTGTCCTGTGTTGGGAGAAAAAACCTTCATGTATGTATTTATATACTATATGGTCATGTATTATGATCTCTGTGTACAGGTAGCAGATGACTATGTGGGACTAGACCTCCTGAGCACACAGAGTGATTTAAGGGTATCTAACTTTAGGAAGATCAACATAAGTGGCATGTCGGTGTATGGCATGGCCCAGCCTGCCAGGGATGTAAGTAATGTTTGATGTCAGTGTAAATTTCAGTATTGTTAAAGATTGGTTCTAAAAACTGTTCAGCTAATCAGATACTTCATTAAACCATTGACTACCAGATTCTTTATAAACATTATAATGTATCTCAATAGGCCAGTCAATATTGTCTGATGGTGGGCTCCTCAAATTGCTTTTCATGTCTCGGACTCTGTTGTCTGTTCATCTGTTCATTGATCCCTAAACTTTCTTGGTATCACCATTTCTTTGTTGGTATCATATGGATCACTCTCAAATTTCATATGTACATGATGTAGATTGATTGGTCCCCAGTTGTGCACTGTCCATTTTGGGAGTGATTGGAAAAACCAAATGGATGACAAACAGCCATATTGGATTTTGACATTTCTAATTTTTTTATCGCTTTTTCTATAAGTACTTGATTTATCACTTTTAGATTTTATCTGTAGGTCTCTGGTGGTCCTAAGTTGTGTATTGTCTGTTTTGGAATTGATTTGAAGAATAAAATGGCCAATATGCAGGCTGCCATATGTAGGTTCAGTTCCCCCTTGGCTGGGCATATTTGATTTGTGGACCAATGGGAAAGTAGGAAAATGATCCATTTGATTAAGGAATGTAGATCATACAATGGTAGGCACCAAGATGTCTCTGAATTTCTTGTAGACATAATGATTGTTGTTAACTGAAGCATTGATAAATACAAAATATTGGTGATTTGTTTTAAAGTTTAACAATTAGAAAAAATTATTGCAGAAATATTTAAATGGATTGTCATTTTTTATTGAGACAAAATTTGATTTTTCACGTTGTGTGTCTGTCTATCAATCTTTTCATCCACTAGATTTCATGTCTGAATAAAAGGATTGAAATTTCATTCATTTCCTTCATACTAATCCAAAATGTTTATTCTGTTGTCAATTCATCCTCATTTGTCAATTTCATGCAGAATTGTAAGAGTTAATACCCCTTATAAATCTTTCTGTGGGCAGCTACTTGAGGCATGGTAGGTGAAATTAGTTTAATATTTTTCCAGAAATGTTTAAGGGAAAACTTAAGGAATGAAATTTTTTATATGTCTCTTGATATCAATGAATAGGACTACAGTCTTCTGGTTACAAATGAAGCTAATATATACTACCATACATGTTGCTAAGGATCAGCTATATTTGAAAGAGAAATTTAGTTGTCAGTAAGGACATCATTGTCTTACCTTCTATTTTTGAGTAAATATGTTAGCCCTTCAAATCATCCTATGTGGATGCATTCAGCCAACCAAAAGTTTGTGTACACAAAAGCTAAGCTACATACACTGAGGACGATACTCAGATTGTTAAGGAAATCAATTTTTATGCATATTCTTGTTTAAATATGGCACAAATATCAATGGTTAAATGATGTTGAAACGAGTTAGAGGCATCAGAAGCTGGCTTGTCTCTCTGTCAGGTTGAAGCAGATCTTTGGCTGTCTGTAAGTGTGGTGTCAAGAATGTGGAATCGTTTACAGCCTAAGAAAATCCCTTCCAGACATCATGGTAGAGGTCATTGAAAGGATACAGCACAGTGACAAGACTGATTTTTTCTCAAATAGGCAAAGTGTCACAGGTTCCAGACTGCCACAGCTTTGCAAAATGACCTCCTAAATGCTTCTCTTACCTCATTATAGGTAGCCACTTAGATCGTTAGGAACAGTCTGAATTTTCATGACAGGTTTAAGGTCGAGTGGAACAGCAATAGGAGTTCCCCTATCTGCCCGCCTTGTTAGAGACAAAACATATTGAACTCAAACTTGGGGAGAGGTTCCAGGCAGGTAAAGCTTTGTGGAACAGGACTGATATAGCAGTGTTGGAGTTCTGTGATCGTGAAGGCAGTTTGTATTTACCAGGGTTACACAATATTTGTGGGATCCATTACTAGTATATTTGTAGAATTTGTTCCTAATTGTTCCCACTAATATGATTGTCCCAGTGTTTTTGTGAGTTAGTTGATTACTAGAACAAATGGGTGATTGACAAATAAACCTCCTTCTTCTCTGTATAGCTTCAAGTGGCTTTTACTCGGTGATTGTAGTGGAAAAAGTCAGGCCCAGGTCATTGAATTGAAGATGTTACATCATTGAATTGTTGATGTGATGTCATTGAATTGTTGGTGTGACATCATTGAATTGTTGGTGTGACATCATTGAATTGTTGATGTGATGTCATTGAATTGTTGGTGTGACGTCATTGAATTGTTGGTGTGATATCATTGAATTGTTGATGTGACATTATTGAATTGTTGGTGTGACATCATTGAATTGTTGATGTGACGTCATTGAATTGTTGATGTGACGTCATTGAATTGTTGATGTGACGTCATTGAATTGTTGATGTGGCATCATTGAATTGTTGGTGTGACGTCATTGAATTGTTGATGTGACGTCATTGAATTGTTGATGTGACATCATTGAATTGTTGATGTGACGTCATTGAATTGTTGGTGTGACATCATTGAATTGTTGATGTGACATTATTGAATTGTTGGTGTGACATCATTTAATTGTTGATGTGACGTCATTGAATTGTTGATGTGATGTCATTGAATTGTTGATGTGAAGTCATTGAATTGTTGATGTGATGTCATTGAATTGTTGGTGTGACATCATTGAATTGTTGATGTGACGTCATTGAATTGTTGATGTGATGTCATTGAATTGTTGATGTGACATCATTGAATTGTTGATGTGAAGTCATTGAATTGTTGATGTGACGTCATTGAATTGTTGATGTGACGTCATTGAATTGTTGGAGTGACATCATTGAATTGTTGATGTGATGTCATTGAATTGTTGATGTGACATCATTGAATTGTTGATGTGATGTCATTGAATTGTTTATGTGACGTTGTTGCATCATTGCTGTGGCATCATACAAGTGTTGTGACAAGGGAATCTCTTTGTATCCATCCTAGAGTATGAATAGGATATCACTTACTTGTAAATGACATCTATGTAACTGATTACATATATATGTTTTTTCTGCGTCAGGGTGTCACAAAGGTCTCTAACCATCTACTGAGTAAAAAGGCTGGACACACATTCCTCGCCATGATTAACTTGCGAAATGACTGCACTCTGGAATGTGATGGTGCCACGTACAGTGTTCGCCATGCTTCTTGTCTGGAGGATCCAATCACACATCCATACATGTCCCGTCAGGAACTGGAGGTGATAAGTTACAGTTACATATGATACGAATGTATCTGACATGGTCAGGGTGTGACTTTTATACTGAAAAAAAGCAGAGTTTGATTCATAATGACAAGAGGTCAAGGTTTGATCTATAATGACAAGAGGTCAAGGTTTGATCTATAATGACAAGAGGTCAAGATGTTGGATCTATAATGACAAGAGGTCAGGGTATGATCTATAGTGACAAAGGTCAGGGTTTGATCTATAATGACAAAGGTCAGTGTTGGATCTATAATGACAAAGGTTAGGGTATGATCTATAATGACAAAGGTCAGGGTTTGATCTATAATGACAAGAGGTCAAGGTTGGATCTATAATGACAAGAGGTCAGGGTATGATCTATATTGACAAAGGTCAGGGTATGATCTGTAATGACAAAGGTCAGGGTTTGATCTATATTGACAAAGGTCAGGGTATGATCTATAATGACAAAGGTCAGGGTTTGATCTATAATGACAAAGGTCAAGGTTTGATCTATAATGATAAGAGGTCAGGGTTTGATCTATATTGACAAAGGTCAGGGTATGATCTATAATGACAATAGGTCAGGGTTTGATGTATAATGAATAAAGTTCTTGTTTGATCTAAAATGACAAGAGGCCAGGGTTTGAACTATAATGACAAGAGGTCAGGGTTTGATGTATAATGAATAAAGTTCTTGTTTGATCTAAAATGACAAGAGGCCAGGGTTTGAACTATAATGACAAGAGGTCAGGGTTTAATCTATAATGACAAAGGTCAGGGTTTGATCTATATTGAATAAAGTTCTGGTTTGATCTATAATAACAAGACATCAGGGTTTTTCTGATACTGACTGACTGGTTTGTACCATTAATTTCATATAAATTGACACAGTTCTTTTTATTATGGGTTTTCATTGTTTTAACTGCAGACTAAGCTTAATGGCAAATTGTGTTACAGTGTAAGGGAGACAGCTTTGATACAACATGTGTTAATTGTCATGTACTGTACAGTGTAGGCATGTTTAAGTATAAAACAACAAAGATACAACTTCCTGTATATATGTCATTAACTATCTACCTATACATACACCTATCTGTTGTTAACAAAATGCCTTATCAAATATTTTTCACCCATATATATGTGTATATGTAGTTATTTATGAATATCTCTTGTGTTTTAGACCACTGAAGAGAGTCTGAAGAAAGAGATAAAGAATTCAGGAAACAGTGTACTGGTAAGTTAATTTCAGGTCGTTTAAACTTAATCAATACTTGTATGTACAATTAAGATAAATGCTACTAGTATCTAGTATTAAAAAGATACTGGAGTTTGAAGGGCTTTGTCAACAAGTTTCCTAAATTTGTCTTTTAGTACTTCTAAAAGGATACAATAATGTATTTAGTCATCTGAATTTTAACTCCCTCTGGACATAGACACAATAGCAGTGAGCTTCGATTTATCTATCATAAGACACACCTACATGTACCTAAATCATTTCTTTTTTCATATACACATGTTCAAACTTGTTCTAAAGTCAATATTATAACTTTCCAACATATGTTGTATTGTTTACATACTGGTGTACAACAGTGAAAAAAATTCAGTTTTTTATAAACAATTTTCTTCTTTTTTTGTTTGAAAGAAAAGCCAAAACAGGACATGACTTTACAGTCACATGAACCATCTTATTCAAAATCTTCAGAGAAAATCAAATTGTAATACAATGTATTTACATATTTGTTTTCATTAATGATTAAAGTCACAACTTCAGACAGACGACTTATTAGACTGAATGTCAGATTGATTATAACTGACGATACTGTCTGGCCTTCATGACATGTGTAATATACTACACCAGGTGTTTAATGGTTGTTTGTACCTTTTATGAAGTTATGATAATCACAAAATCAACAAAACGTTCAGTATCCTTACAATGTTCTGACACTCCGCTTCCAATATTATTTCAGGATTTTGAATTATATATAAAACAACAGTGATCAACATTTGCAATTAATTAACACTTCATTCTAGTAATCCAAGAATTTCATGTAAATATCGAAGTCTGTATGTGTTGTAATGGATGATATCTTTAGACTTAAGTCAATGTGTGTGTGTTTTATTGATGATCCATTGAGAGTCAATGTCTGCAGGTTTTCTTGATGATATATTTAGACTTTAGTCAATGTATGATGTTTTTGTTGTTGGAGAAATTCACCCAGAGTCAATATCTGAAAGTTTTATTTTTCTGACTAGGTGTACAACGACATCTCTGAGTCCCCAGTCCAGAAAGAGTTCTCCAGCATACTAACCCCTTCAGAACTGGCTGACCAGCAGAAGTTACAGACCCTAGACATGGTCTACCACAGAATACCACTGCAATATGATACAGCTCTAGAGGAGAAGGTGAAAATACAAGGAAATATGCCCAAGGACTAAAACATACTCCACCTACCATTAAATATAAAAATTCCATCTACTGTAAGACAGAAGTACTCAACCTACAGTAAAACATACATACTCCACCTACCATTAAATATAAAAATTCCATCTACTGTAAAACATAAATACTCTACCTACTGTAAAACATACATACTCCACCTACCATTAAATATAAAAATTCCATCTACTGTAAGACAGAAGTACTCAACCTACTGTAAAACATACATACTCCACCTACCATTAAATATAAAAATTCCATCTTCTGTAAAACATACATACTCCACCTACTGTAAAACATACATACTCCACCCCATTAACTGTAAAAACATGAAAGACAAAGTACTCAACCTACTGTAAAACATACATACTCCACCTACATACTCCACCTACCATTAAATATAAATATAAAACATACATACTCCACCTACTACTGTAAAACATAAAACATACTACCACCTACTGTAAAACATACATACTCCACCTACTGTAAAACATACATACTCCACCCACTGTAAAACATAAATACTCCACCTACTGTAAAACATAAATACTCTACCTACTGTAAAACATAAATACTCCACCTACTGTAAAACATAAATACTCCACCCACTGTAAAACATAAATACTCCACCTACTGTAAAACATAAATACTCCACCTACTGTAAAACATAAATACTCTACCTACTGTAAAACATAAATACTCTACCTACTGTAAAACATAAATACTCTACCTACTGTAAAACATAAATACTCTACCTACTGTAAAACATAAATACTCTACCTACTGTAAAACATAAATACTCTACCTACTGTAAAACATAAATAAAACACTCTACCTACTGTAAAACACTGTAAAACATAAATACTCCACCTACTGTAAAACATACATACTCCACCTACTGTAAAACATACATACTCCACCTACTGTAAAACATACATACTCCACCCACTGTAAAACATAGATACACCACCCACTGTAAAACATAAATACTCCACCCACTGTAAAACATACATACTCCACCTACCATAAAACATACATATTCTGCTTCCTGTAAAACATACCTATGCTATTATCATAAACCATACATATGCTACTTGCTGTAAAACATACATACTCCACCTACCGTAAAACATACATATTCTGCTTCCTGTAAAACATACCTATGCTATTATCATAAACCATACATATGCTATTATCATAAACCATACTTATGCTATTATCATAAACCTTACATATGCTACCTGCTGTAGAACATGCATACTCCATGTAAAATAATTATGCTTTACCTTCCATAACATAACTCTTCTCACTGTGAAATATACTTGACATGCCTACTACCTACATAGTAGACTTTCTTGTGTTAAATGTGCAGTAATGGCAGCATACCTGGTTTGTTTGTTAAACAGGATTTTGATGATCTGATGTCTATGGTGTGTGAATATGGTTATGACTGTGATCCTCGTGCCAACACAGCCTTTGTATTCTTTTGTCGGACTGGCAAAAGTCGAACCACAACAGCCATGGCAATAGCTGGACTTATCCTCTGTCATATCAGGGTAGGTACTGTGGCTCTTGACTCCCATCTACAAGTGAAAGTCACCTAGGCTAGTACTATCATCCCCCACCTAAGGCCATCCCATGGAATGGTATGACCATTCACCCTATAGGTTGACCCAGGGTAGGTATTTTCACTGACCCATCCTTTCTCACACATCTCTCGACCTGTGCCCCTGTAGCTTTAAGCTAGCTCCCTAATGCCTCTCCCAGCTCTTGCCCTCAAGGCTGCTGCTGAAACACTCATTGATTGTCATCATGTAATCAAACGACTTGTTATGATTTAAGATTTTTGTATAATAGAACTGAAATTTCATATCATTTACTAGTCTTTAGGTTAAAAACGAAATTTGCTTTTTCAGGGATTCCCCAAGGGAGCTAACCTTGGTGAACAAGAAAGAGTTTCATGTCCGAATGCACAATACACTAAAGGAGATTTTATTGTAAGTTCTGGGATATGAATGTGATCAAATATAATTATCACTTTTTGACACAATATTACAGTTACACAAAGGATCACAAATATATGATGCTGTATTTGTCATATATATAGAATAATTATCCTACAGTTAACTTTACCTATTTCTGGGCTTTTAAATATTTATTTATTATAGATGCAATAATGTTTATTTTTTAGAGTTAAGTTACCATCTATGTTTTTGAAACTTAATTTTGATGCTTTGATAACATAAACATGATATGTTATCGATAGAAAGAAAAACTCGTAATAGCAGCAGCAAAACTTTTACAGTAATTACTAAAATATTTATATCTATGGCACAGGTTTCTACTTACCGGTAAGTGTTTGTTGGCTTTTAAACCAAAACATCAAAAAATTAATTACTATGACAAAAAATATGACAACTTGTCTTCTGTAGATTGTCCAGAAACTGATCCGCCTGCTACCGAATGGTCATCAGATCAAGAGAGAAGTGGACTTCATCCTCGATGAAATATTTGAAACAATGTCAACAACCTTGTTTCATCTGAGGGAAAACACTTTTGTCATCTACAATAAGGTAAGGGGAAAGATGCTAAATCATTAACTAGGTTATCGAGAGAACATATGTTGATATGACATTGATAATGAGGTTAAAGAAAGGACAGTTGAAATTACACATTGTCAAACACATGAGAGTAGGAACAGGTGACATATCACATTGTTAACTAAGTGAGAGTGGAGACTGGTGACACGTTACTTTGTTGACCTGGTTAGAGTGGGAACAGATATAAAACTTTTAACTAGGTAAGATTGGGGACAGATGACATTGGAAATTGTTAACCAGATTATGATGGTGATGGATAACATGTCTCTTTTTTTACCAGGTCAGAATTGGGATATTTTATATATTGCACTGTTAACAAAGTAGGAGTGCAAGGGACAAGTGACATGTCACATTGTTGACTAAGTTAGAGTGTTAAGAAGGTAAATTGTAAAGATGAGGAAAGGTGATGTGAATGTGACATTATCTGTTATGACCTTGTCATTTTCATCCATTGACCTGTGCTTATTTGTGATTCTTGACTTTGGTTAACTGTGTCGGGTTGACCTTGTCATTGTGATCCATTGACCTGTGCTTTATTTGTGATTCTTGACCTTGGTTAACTGTGTCTGATGACCTTGTCATTTTCATTCATTGACCTGTGCTTTATTTGTGATTCTTGATCTTGGTTAACTGTGTCGGGTTGACCTTGTCATTGTGATCCATTGACCTGTGCTTTATTTGTGATTCTTGACCTTGGTTAACTGTGTCTGATGACCTTGTCATTTTCATCCATTGACCTGTGTTTTATTTGTGATTATTGACCTTGGTTAACTGTGTCTGATGACCTTGTCATTTTCATCCTTTGACCTGTGCTGTATTTGTGATGCTTGACCTGGTTAACTGTGTCTGATGACTTTGTCATTGTGATCCATTGACCTGTGCTGTATTTGTGATTCTTGACCTTGGTTAACTGTCTGATGACCTTGGTTAACAGTGTCGGATTGACCTTGTCATTGTGATCCATTGACCTGTGCTGTATTTGTGATGCTTGACCTGGTTAACTGTGTCTGATGACTTTGTCATTGTGATCCATTGACCTGTGCTGTATTTGTGATTCTTGACCTTGGTTAACTGTCTGATGACCTTGGTTAACTGTGTCTGATGACTTTGTCATTGTGATCCATTGACCTGTGCTGTATTTGTGATGCTTGACCTGGTTAACTGTGTCTGATGACTTTGTCATTGTGATCCATTGACCTGTGCTGTATTTGTGATTCTTGACCTTGGTTAACTGTCAGATGACTTTGTCATTGTGATCCTTTGAACTGTGCTGTATTTGTGATGCTTGACCTGGTTAACTGTGGCTGATGACTTTGTCATTGTGATCCATTGACCTGTGCTGTATTTGTGATTCTTGACCTTGGTTAACTGTCTGATGACCTTGGTTAACAGTGTCTGATGACCTTGGTTAACTGTGTCTGATGACCTTAACATTGTGATCCATTGACCTGTGCTGTATTTGTGATTCTTGACCTTGGTTAACTGTCTGATGACCTTGGTTAACAGTGTCTGATGACCTTGGTTAACTGTGTCTGATGACCTTAACATTTTGATCCATTGACCTGTGCCATATTTGTGATTCTTGACCTTGGTTAACTGTGTCTGATGACCTTGGTTAACTGTGTCTGATGACCTTGGTTAACTGTGTCTGATGACCTTGTCATTTTGTTTCATTGACATGTGCTGTATTTGTGATTCTTGACCTTGGTTAACTGTGTCTGATGACCTTGGTTAACTGTGTCTGATGACCTTGTTTAACTGTGTCTGATGACCTTGGTTAACTGTGTCTGATGACCTTGTCATTTTGATACATTGACATGTGCATTGTGTGTTGCTGTCACAGATAAAGAATGCTAAGACTGAGGCAAGCAGACAGGTGCTGAAACGTCAAAGTCTGGACTACCTAGAGCGATACATTTACCTCATCCTCTTCAATGCCTATTTACACTACGACAAGAAGAATCAGTGGCAGCGTCCTTTTAGCAAGTGGATGAAAGAGGTTTGCTTTATATTGAATAAGGTTATCTCATTGTAATCAAAGACATTTAAACTTTTAAATAAATTGTTTATGTAAGTTCATTATTTTCCCTAAAAGAGATAAAACATAAAAACTCTAAGATATAGAACAGAAACTTCAAAACTTTCAATTTGACAAAATGTTTTTCTAGATTCTTAAAATTCTTGTTTAGTAAATCCTCAGTTTGTGATATCTTATGCCTATCAAAGATTTTGGCCAGACATATTATTAAATATATAATTTTTCATTCAGTTCAATAATTTTTGAAGGGGTTATTAGCCTTTGTTTTGTTTGTAAATATATACATGTACTTCCATATTTTCATGCATTTTAATGCAGAAATGATGGTTACTTTAGCATAGGGCAGGTCCTACATTAAAGTTGTGTGGTTATAACATTGTGTTTCATGATGTAGATGCAGTGTGCCGTAGTTAGCATTCAGCTGATGAGAATAATTTATTTCTATTTTTAGGTGGCTGCCTTAGCTGGAATTTATAAACTGTTGAACAACCTCGGTTTTTATGACTTTGACAAAATGCCCACATCATTCAAAACGATGAAAGAAAGATGGAGCCATCGTGGACAGGCCTTACCTTTCCATGGTGTCTTCTCCTGAAGATCATACTTTAAATTCATGACTCAAAAGTATGACTCAAGGTCATTATTTCAACATCAACGTCAAGTTTACATCACTTCTGCCCTGCTGGAGTCAACACCTAAAGGCTGTTTTTCAAGGCTGAACTAGATACTTACCTAGACCTGTGTCAACTGTTGGAATTATGCAAAAGATTGTGTTGTTTGATGTATTGTGTCTTGGTGCCTGGGTCAATGATCTTGGGCCTGACATTATGGTTTCAGTGTTTAGAGGTTACCATACCTGTTTAAGGGTCTGGTAGATTATTGTGGTACCTGAAATGACCTGAATTGTCTCTAAATCCCGAAGTTAGTACAGCTTAACTGTTAAGAGGAGCTGGCATACCTAGGACAAAGACATATAAGAGAATTATTTACCATATTTGAATCCTTTGACCAGCTCGCTCTATAATAGAATATGATGTTACCAGTGGTAATGTTAGTGATTATCAGACTAGGTTGGTTTGCAATCATTTATATGATGGAACAGACATCTAAAAAATAATGTTAATTTTGTTTGTCTAGATAGTTAGGAAAGTTCACAGCACAATCATATTTCTTAAAATAATTGAAATATTTTCAAAGGTTAAAGTACCAGGGTTTTTACAAGCCCATCAAAACTTTTGATGGGATGTATTATAGTATGACATTTTTCTTCCTCCATCTGTCCATCCATCTGTTATCAACTTGGAAATCTCCTCCTCACTGTTTTCAACTGATCGTTTTCAAACTTGGAAGGTTTAATCACCATGACATGCAGTTGTGTTTTACTGGATGGTAGTTTGATTTGACAGTATTTGGAAGACTTACTACTCCTTGTTGTTTTCATAATATTAATCTAGTCCAGATATCTTCTCCCTCAGTTTTCAACAAATTTCAGTGAACCTTTGTAGGCTTGAAAACCACAACATGAGATTGTGTTCACATGAACAGCATTTTGCTTAAACAATATTTCAAAAAGTCACTGTCCTTTGAACTTTTCAGTGTTTTGATCTTTTCCAGAGATTTCTTTCAATTTTCTGCACATCTCTTTAAGCTCAGTATGTTTCGATCATGAAAACATATATCATTCTTGTCCATCTTGACAATTTCGCTTATCATTACTGTTTGCATTCTTGTGTTGTTGTATCGTTTCTGATGAAACAAATCTTGAATGTTTTTTTGGTATGGGACAGGTACATTGATATGTCCAGGAGTAAGGGACAGGTGTATATTGTTTCGCCCACTCTTGTTTATATCGGGGAAGCTAGTCCTGAACATATGTTACTCTCTAAATTGTCTCTGGACTAATAACTGGACATGCAAAATGAAGAGAAAGCCTTTCGTATGGACAATTTTTCTGTCACTTTTGTTTTATCTGCAAAGCACATGACAGCAACTTTCATGTGAGGAATTCATTGAGTCAGTGCAATGGTCCTGATAAAGGCATCTCTGCAATGACTTAAAAAAGTTTTCAATTGTCCTAGTTGATTACTGGATAAAGTTCAACTTTGAACTAGAAATTTTAAACAACTGCATGCACGTTGACCTTACGGACAAGTTACTTGTTGCTCAGGTTTGAATTTGGTTTAGATGTAATCATGATATCCAATTTGCCACCTGAGAGGGTGACAAAATGAAGGCTGAAATTATGTTTCACAGAGTCTGACAAGATTGTGAATTAAATCCAATCATTAGATATAGATTATTAAACAGACATTATATCATTTGAAATAAGATCAATTTATTATCTCTTTTTCTGATGTTCATTCTATTTCAGTCCCTGACTTCATTAAGTTTGATGCTGAGCCAAATTTATACATGTATCTAAAGACGCTGTTGCTCTCTGATTGGGTCCATGGGTTACAAGTGTGTACATTTTTAGGTCATCTAGCACAAATATTCAGGATGACTTCTTAAAAAACACATTTAAAACTTCTTTTGAATCCCTCTCATGCCTTTGAGATGAAATTCTGTGGGACTGTTGAGAAACTGAAATGAGGAGTGCTGTTTACCTTTACTGCTAAAATATTGGAAACTGTTTTAATGATTTAATAATTGTTTCTATAACTACAACTGCTGTTATGTTTTATATACATGTATAGGTCTTTATAGTCCCGTTAAGGCCCAGGGGCCTCTTGTCTACCTAGGAGGTCCCTTGTTCATATGTTGTGCTCAGCAAAATTCAAAACTATTTGATAAGACTGCTGCCAACACACAGCCTGATTCCTGATATCTTGTCAATCAATTGTCTTATGATACTTACCAGTATCCTATACTCAAACTCGTAAGTCCTGCATGTAATTTGCAAACATTTTAAAAAGAAAACTCTGATCTTATCTTTGATACTGTAGATATGAAAATGTTCACCTGTTTTATGGTAAACACAATGAAATGGCCTTGGCAGTAATGCAGTTTACATTAATAATGAAGTTTCTTACCATCTGTTATTGGTCAAATGATAAGATAGCACAAACATATCCTGGTTCTTCTCAATGGTTCTCAAAAGGAATTTAATGGTGTATTGTACTGAAGGAAGCTGATTTTTCAGAGACCTAATAACTTTCAGCAAATTTTATTGGTCTACCAGGGCGCAATGATTTAATTTTCATTGAAATTTTAAACGTTCATTTCAGGTAGAAAATATGTAGATAAATTTCCCATTTAAGGGGAGCTAACTTAGACAATGAATACTTCTTAATGGCATTTATATGTAGTACTGCCGCAGTCACATTCATCTATTGTGATGACAGCACATCAGATCAAAACAGCTCATGGCAGGTCAAATGTATGATAAATTCAACAGCTAGTGAAGACACAGCCTTGAGGATGATGGGAAGGTTTAATTTTGTATCAAATTCATCTACAATGTATTACATAGTTACTAAATCTGCCAAGGCAATCAAGAAACTAATAATTATGGTCCGAAGGCCGAAGTGACCTTAAGTTTAATACAAACTGATGGTGTTATGGCATCCATATTCCAAGGTTGTAACAAGGTCAAAGTGCGACCTTGACCTTATGTTGGGGTATTGAAGTAATTAAGTATGGAATCTTGACATACTGATGATCCTCCAAAAAACAGTATACCTAATTGATAGGATTGTTATAATGTTGTACTGCATGATTAGCATTTGTATCTTGTGAAAATGGTTCATCCAGATTAAGATTGTGTATTTTGATTAGAAGTGACATTTTTAAAATAATATTATTCACATGCACTAATACAATTTTATTGAACATTGTACATATTTTTCACATTTTCATAGCAAAAATTCCTCCCTAGATCTTCTGACAATTTAGACACAACTTTGATAATGTCACAACTGAGGTATTACAGCAGACATTAGTTATTTGTTGTGATATAAAACAAATGTTACCACTAGCAGGTATTTCAAGTGTTTCATGGTATGAAATTTGCTAACGTATTTAATTAATGTAACTCACTAATTTGTTTATGTAATTTGGGTGATATAGATATTTATTGTAATTAAATTGCCATTCACTCCTGTTTTTCATTAGTTGAAAGCACATTACACTTGTGATATTCTTATATAGGCATTCACTCTCACACTTGTACATGGCTGACTCTCAGCTACGTAATTGGTGATTGATTTAATGAATTTTACTAACACATATTTTTGCTTGTTCGTGTATTGATAGAATATTTTATATACCTGTATGTCAAAGCTGTTCTTTATGTACATGTGTGATGAAGTGGACATAAAACAGATCATGCTGAAACATATTATATTACTAAGATGAAATTTAACTTTCAAATTAAAATTTACCCACCAAAATGTTATTTTACTTGGAATAAATATATGCATCTTATTTGCCATTGTTGTTATGGAGTGTTCAGAGGGTCACACCAGGCACAGATCACAAGGACGAAGTATAGAGTATGGTCCCAAATGTTTCCTCTCCGAATTGAAACGCAACTGATTAATCAACAATCAAAGCAATAAAACATTTTCAACTGATAAAACATGGTTTTATGATCACAAGAGGTTAGGGTAATCTCCGATACATCCCATACATATTTAAACATTGAAGTCTGACAAACATCTACAATGTTACAAGAATTACAGTGTAGTCCCCATGTCCCTCTGTACCTTCTCTCATGTCACATCCTTTTCTTAATCAGTCTCATATTTTCAGAATCTTTCAACAGATTTCATTCATCTGCCCCATAGTTATTATATCATCAAGTTTTACACCTTATTAAGGTTAAAGAGTTAGAAATGACACATTTGACAAGAAACTGATGTCTCATTGTCATGTTCTACTTTACCATATATTTTTCTTTTTGTGAAATATATATCGGACATGTCACATCCCTTTCAACACTGAAAGTATTTTTACATAATCAAAGAAAAGAAAGTTGCAATACTACTTTTTATTGTCTTCTGACATGTACATAAATCTGCTGGTCAGTACAAAAGTTTGATTACCATATTTTAGCTAGGTGTTGGATTTCAAAAGTTTTGAAAATGAGAGTTTTGGAGTTAAGAGGTTTTGCTTTTATAGATTAGAAATAGAAACTTGTTACATATTCTAAAACCAAGCAAATTTTCTTTATTGCTCAAAGTTTAAAATTAAGATCAAAGTTATGTTATTTGTTAGTAAAGTGGATTTGGATCAAAATTTAACGGATTTGATGGTTTGAGTATGTGACATTGAGATCCACAGTTAGAGAATAATGTAATGGAGAAAAAACACACAAGATTTACATACTTTGGTCTATAAATCAGTAAATAAGTACCTTACATAAAAAAATATGAGCTAAAGGGTTTGGGAATAGAGGTTTTTATTCATCAGTCTGGGATTTCTTATTACTTTGTGATAGTGTTTTATCATTGGAATTTATCATTACTTGGGTGATAGTGTTGTGTCACTGGGATAACCTGCTACAGTGTGATAGTGTTGTGTCACTGGGATAGCTTGTCACTGTGTGATAGTGTTGTGTCACTGGGATAGCTTGTTACTGTGTGATAGTGTTGTGTCACGGGGATAACTTGTTACTGTGTGATAGTGTTGTGTCACTGGGATAACCTGCTACTGTGTGATAGTGTTGTGTCACTGGGATAGCTTGTTACTGTGTGATAGTGTTGTGTCACTGGGATAACCTGCTACTGTGAGATAGTGTTGTGTCACTGGGATAGCTTGTTACTGTGTGATAGTGTTGTGTCACTGGGATAACTTGTTACTGTGTGACAGTGTTGTGTCACTGATAACTTGTTACTGTGTGATAGTGTTGTGTCACTGGGATAACTTGTTACTGTGTAATAGTGTTGTGTCACTGATAACTTGTTACTGTGTGATAGTGTTGTGTCACTGGGATTGCTTGTTACTGTGTGATAGTGTTGTGTCACTGGGATAGCTTGTTACTGTGTGACAGTGTTGTGTCACTGATAACTTGTTACTGTGTGATAGTGTTGTGTCACTGGGATAACTTGTTACTGTGTGATAGTGTTGTGTCACTGGGATAACTTGTTACTGCGTGATAGTGTTGTGTCACTGGGATAACTTGTTACTGTGTGACAGTGTTGTGTCACTGGGATAACTTGTTACTGTGTGATAGTGTTGTGTCACTGGGATAACTTGTTACTGTGTGACAGTGTTGTGTCACTGGGATAACTTGTTACTGTGTGATAGTGTTGTGTCACTGGGATAACTTGTTACTGTGTGATAGTGTTGTGCCACTGATAACTTGTTACTGTGTGATAGTGTTGTGTCATTGATAACTTGTTACTGTGTGATAGTGTTGTGTCAAAGGCACAGCTTGTTACTGTGTGATAGTGTTGTGTCACTGGGATAACTTGTTACTGTGTGATAGTGTTGTGTCACTGGGATAGCTTGTTACTGTGTGATAGTGTTGGGTCACTGGGATAGCTTGTTACTGTGTGATAGTGTTGTGTCACTGGGATAGCTTGTTACTGTGTGATAGTGTTGTGTCACTGATAACTTGTTACTGTTTGATAGTGTTGTGTCACTGGGATAACTTGTTACTGTGTGATAGTTTAGTGTCACTGGGATAACTTGTTACTGTGTGATAGTGTTGGGTCACTGGGATAGCTTGTTACTGTGTGACAGTGTTGTGTCACTGATAGCTTGTTACTGTGTGATAGTGTGGTGTCACTGGGATAGCTTGTTACTGTGTGATAGTGTGGTGTCACTTGGATAGCTTGTTACTGTGTGTTAGTGTTGTGTCACTGGGATAGCTTGTTACTTTGTGATAGTGTTGTGTCACTGGGATAACTTGTTACTGTGTGATAGTGTTGTGTCACTGGGATAGCTTGTTACTGTGTGATAGTGTGGTGTCACTGGGATAACTTGTTACTGTGTGATAGTGTGGTGTCACTGGGTTAGCTTGTTACTGTGTGATAGTGTGGTGTCACTGGGATAACTTGTTACTGTGTGATAGTGTTGTGTCACTGGGATAGCTTGTTACTGTGTGATAGTGTGGTGTCACTGACAGTCTGGGATAACCTGTTACTGTTTGTAGTGTTATATCATTTTCTTGTAACTCCTCCGACTGTTTTCTGATAAAACAGATATTCTATAATGTTGTAAGATTTAGATAGTATCACACGAATGGTCATCAAATGAAATATCTATCAGTTATGATTACAATATGATTGTGTTGGTCTTGTGTATTTTCTGCTTGATACATGTTTTCTTTTATATGAAAATTTTGTTCAATAAATTAATACTTTATTTTGGTGTTTGTTATTTATTTAGTTGGTATGATGAGTTGTCAGTTTCAATCTCCTTTTGAATTCACTGATTGTATTACAACTCTAGGTAGGATGCTGTAAGTTTCTTTATTGCATCTGAAAGTTTGCCTGACCATGAAAAATTTATAACAACAGTATTCAATGAGAGTAAATGAATTGCTATTCCAAGTCTTCGAATTCAAGTGATACTACTTCCTAATTTTAGTGAGTTCTGTAATATTCTACTGCCCAAAATTACAACTCCTTGCCATTGAATCAGAATTCCCATTTGATTTGATTTTAGAAATCCTTTACTAGTTAAGATTTAGGAAAATCAGTCAGTGACTTTCTCTGTCTAAAGAGATGGACAAATCATTCCTACAGAATAAGAAGGATTTTGTAGAATTTGCTCTATTTCCACATTTGGGGCCGAGACCACCTTTTATGTAAAACTAATACCTTTTCATGCAAGGATGCTTCAAACCAAATTGGGACAAAATTCTGGCATTCCTAAGGAAGTATTTTAAAGAATTTTGTCTATTTCCTCTTCTGGGTCCCTCCTGCCTCCCGTCCACCCATGCATGCTTTCAGACTAAGCTAGGGAAGAATCCTAGTATTCCTACAGAATAGAAAGGCCAGTGTTTGGAGAATTTGTTTATTTCTCCTATTTGGCCCGACCTCTCGCCCTGGAGTGGTCTAACTATTAAGGAAATTACACCTCTACAACGTTTCCTGATATGCATATCGACTGATGGTCTATCTAATTACTTATATTATTTAGTCATGGAAAACGTACCTCTCTATGTCGAACACTTGGATCGTCAGCTTATAGACGACAACAGGAACATGCCATCTTGGTATTGGAGGATAAGATTGACAATCTCCAAACTAAAATCAACAGTACTGGTGAGTGATGTCAAAACTGCAACACTAATGAAGTTGACGACAGATCAGAGAAATGGAGAACCTACAAAGATGTCAAACAAACTTAAGTGATTCTTTTTTGTTCCAGATAAAGTTGGTGAAAATTGTGACCTACAATAGAAGAAAATCTGAAAGTGAAAGACTACACTGACATTGACAATACAATTAGGATTGAATTCAAAATCAGAGATGCTTGCATGATTCAGAATGGGGAATTACATTCACGGATTCTTACAGGGTTGATTCAAAATATAATTGATGGAAGTTATTCATATTATGTACCATAGCCATTTTAATAGGGAGCTTATATGACTATTGATATGATAAAATCATTGCTGAAAACGACCTAAATTAAACACAAATGTTGCAAATTTTAACGTTATCTATCATATTTGGATATACTTACGAGTTTTGGGTAAGTGTGGGATAGTTAAGTTTGCGTATTTTGTCGCAACTGTTTTATTCTGTACATGAAGGTGGTCAGTTTGAACTTCCAAAGTTGGCATGTTCAAACCCCACATTTGGTCTAAAGTGTCAAAAGGTGTATCAAAAAGGCATCCTCGATACTTCAAGGGTTACGATCACTTTCAGAGAGAAAATAATTGTATATGCACGGAACCCCTGGAGTATCGAGAGCAGTACTTACTTAGAATTACATGTGTAACTTTTTCACATTATACTGTACAAAAGTAAGTTTTGTATGTTAGATGGTTTAAAATAAACATATAATATTGGTTATGTTTATATGTCATGATTGGAAGTAATCTATTTTATACACATCAATCACATCCATATTTTTGAATTCTCAAATCAAAGCAATAATTCCGGATTTATATCGTGCGGTTCCGGATCCGGATCATTGTTTACGTCGTTCCAACATGTCAGCGCCCTTGACGATCAAAACACTTACATAAGACCCCGTTTTCTTACACGTGACCTGATAAACATTTGTAGGTTATCATAATGATGAAGACTGCAATGGAAAAGCTGGTAGTGGTTGGGGCAGGGATTACGGGAGCTTCGTCTGCTGCTTTGCTGAAGAAAATCTTACCCGATGGAGCCGTTGTTAAGATTCTGGACAAGTCAAGGGGAACGGGTAAAATAATTAAAACTTAAAAACGTGATTGTCTCTCTTTAAAAAAAAACGTTTAAACTGCTTAAAGAGATATAGAATGGTGATATTGCTTGTAATTCAAACCTGGACGTTTCTGGTTAAAGACAATGTCCAGATCCGTGGATCCTTGATCTGTTGGTACAGCATTAACATGATATGCACTTTAAAGGGAAGTAATTTACGGCAATTTATGATATCACATAAATGTGAACGAAAAGACAGTGAATGGGTATAGAAACTACCTGCATTTACTATTTTTAATCATGTACACATACGGCTTTCTGGGCTTGCAACACATGTATACAAATGTACTTGTAATCAATAGAAGATCAGCCTCATGTTGAATGTTCATGAAGGTAACGTTACACTGAGTAAATAGTTAGACTGGCCTGGTGATGGCTCAAATTAGAGATCAACTTCAGTGTGTAGATATAGCTGTAAGTAAAAGTCAAAGTCATGTTATTTGGGCATGGCTGGCAAGTAAGGGGTGTCAGAGCACATACTGGTATATATGTATAAGATGTATATACCAGACTGTATATCAATATGGATGAAGTACAACTTAGATGTGGATTTGCATAACATTAACAGTTGTTGATCAGACAGATCTACAGGAATGCTGTAAACACCTTTTTGAATAATATCTTCTTAAATGAGTCAGTGATTAGATTTTACTTTCATTTTCAAAACAATCCTGGTATTAAAGATCAAAGATATTTTCTAGAATTATTGTCTAATTATTTGAAAAAATACAGGTAATTACTAATGTCTTATTTGGATACCTGGACGTAAATAGGGTGATTGAGCCCTAAAAATGCATGCTTTAAGAAAGGAGTACATGATATTCTTGTTAATATTACACTAGCTATCTGCAGCCAATAAACTCCTTTTTCCTCCAACTTGTTTATTGTTTTTTATCAGGAGGGCGAATGTCAACAAGCCGTTGCTCAAACGGAAAGAGTGCAACTGTTGATCTAGGTGCCCAGTACATTTCAATTAATCTCCACTATGCCAAAGTCCATCAAAGGTATGAAAATCTTGGTATGATCCATGTACTGTCACATTGTGGAAATAAGAAACAGACTACATGTTTTTTGTTAGTAAAATCTTCTTCATCATTAAGACTTCAAAAAAATGAAGTATGTTGTGTTTCACATGATTAAAAAGTTACATTGGACATGCTGTTATAACTGTAATCATTCTTTATATGTATGTATCTGTGTATCTATGTATGCATGTATGTACATATGCTAGTTCATTTGTTTGTTCATTCATTCTTCAAAATATTTGCTTCCCAAAATTTGGAACAATAATGTCACAAAAACTAATGTTTAATTACAATATAAAATCACACTACAATACCTACAATTTGTTATTTTAATCAGAGGAACAGGAAGTTTGGTCTTCTTGGATAATACTGTATATCTTGTACTATGCTAATCTGTCATATACATAATGTTAAGGTCTGGTTTGTCCTGAAACATATTGTATTCTGTTAGCATGAAATACATAGAAATGTGTATGGTTGGGAAGGAAACCTTTTTGTTGTCTGTAGAATGATGCATTGTATAAGGAATTTTGATGAAGATGGTACTTATAATAACATGGAACAGTATATATCACATGACTTCCAATCTTGTTTACTGTAGTATACATGAAGAGCTGATATCCCAAGGTTTACTAAAGGCATCAACATGTGTGATGGAGGGAGATAAGTTTGGAGGAGAAGACATCCTACATTATGTAGCTCCAGCTGGGATCAGTTCTCTAGTCAAACACTTTGTCAAGCAGGCAGGTATATACTCTCTACATTCATCCTTAAGGGAAATATAAGCTCTGCCTTTGTTTAATAGGGCAAACATCCCTCTGGTCCCATAGATACACTGTACATTGGTTACAGAGGGCTAACATCCCTCTGGTCCCATAGATACACTGTACATTGGTTACAGAGGGCTAACATCCCTCTGGTCCCATAGATACACTGTACATCAGTTACAGAGGGCTAACATCCCTCTGGTCCCATAGATACACTGTACATCAGTTACAGAGGGCTAACATCCCTCCGGTCCCATAGATACACTGTACATCAGTTACAGAGGGCTAACGTCCCTCGAGTCCCATAGATACACTGTACATCAGATATAGAGAGATGACATACCTCCAGTTCTGTACATATGCTTTACAGTTGTCTATGAGGAGATAATAGTTCTCTGCACATTGTAGATGAGATATGTTCTTCATTTTAATAGAAGATTGTGGCATTCTTTAATGTTAACTCTAGGTGTATACTGTGGAACAAACATACATGTACATTGTATAATGTCATTATAAAGAACATGTACCTATGTCACTATATAGAACATGTACCTATGTCACTATATAGAACATGTACCTATGTCACTATATAGAACATGTACCTATGTCACTATATAGAACATGTACCTGTGTCATTATATAGAATGTGTACCTGTGTCATTGTATAGACCATGTACCCATGTCACTATATAGAATGTGTACTATGTCGTTATGTAGAATATGTCATTTTATAGTGGTACCTGTGTTTTTTCCTATACTTTAGGTGCTGAAGTAGCATATGAAGAACATGTTACCAAAGTAGACATAGAAAACAAAAAGGTGAAACTGACAACCTTGAAAGGACAAGAGGAACTGTGTGATGGGGTCATACTGACCATGCCTGTACCACAAATTCTCCAACTGGACGGCTCTATCAGACAACTCATTGGTCAGTATACTCCCTATTACATGTGTTAGTTCTGTGAACTGTTTTTGTCCTTCTAGAGGTCCACAAGTCCCAGACATAATCTACAACTCATTGTGGACTTGGTTTACTGTAATCATACTAATTTAGTTCTAAAGGTCCACAAGTCCCAGACATAATCTACAACTCATTGTGGACTTAGTTTACTGTAATCATACTAATTTGACACAATCCCTTTTTAGGCCATCCCAGACATAATAAACTCATTGTGGACTTGGTTTACTGTAATCATACTAATTTAGTTCTAGAGGTCCACAAGTCCCAGACATAATCTACAACTCATTGTGGACTTGGTTTACTGTAATCATACTAAAGCTAAATAATATTTACCAAAGACACAATCCCAGGCCATTATCACTTTTTAACAAAAGTGCATAATATTTGAATGAGATTTCAGGCAAAAAAGATGACAGTTTAAGAATGTATGTTTCTGTCATCTTGGTGTACTTGTTATCAGGCACAATGTCAAGCTCTGATAGATAAAGGCTTGTAGTCCTTACTTTTGTCTGATATTTGTTAAACATCTATTAATTAATTTATCAATTATTTCAACACTTAATTGTTTCACCTTTTTTTTTTCGTTCTAGATTCTCAACCAAAAGTCAAAGAAAATCTAGAGAATGTATCTTACTCAATGCGATTTGCTGTAGGATTATTTTATGATCCGGGTGTAACATTGTCATACCCATGGGCAGTGAAGTACTTCAGAGATAACCCATGTGTATGTTACATAGCCATTGATGACAAGAAGAGAGGGACAGGTAATTAACTTAAGAAAAGCCACAGTAACAATGTTGAATAGATTTCTTTACTTAAACACAACACCTTGACTCTACAGTATGGAAGTAATGTAATGTGATACGGATTATGATGATGTCTGATTTAATTTGTTTCTCAAAATTGAAATGTTTGATTTCATGAAAATATTTTTACAACTTATTGTCAGCTGAATAATAGGTTAATACAGATCATGTAAATGAACATATTAGTGATAAAGATGCTGTTTTCTACCTCAACTGGTAGAAAAAGCCTGTTGTAGAGATATCACCATGTTTTTAAGGCAACAGAATTGTTATTTGCAAAGTGAAAACACCTAACACTGACAAAACTTCTGGAATGCACTGCAACTTTTCCTATCTGCAGAAAGTGACAGTGTTGGTCCCTCTGTTGTGATACATACTTCTGTGCCCTTTGGAATGAAGCACCTGGAGGAGGACAAGGACAGTGTGAAGGACATTATAATGAAGCATGTGAAGGAGTTACTCCCCGATATTCCAGAACCAGCTGAGGTCAAAGGTCACAAGTGGAGATATTCTCAGGTAAATTTGTTTGGTTTAATTAACACTGGTCTATTATAACAAGGATTTCTACTAATTCAAATCTGTATAGAAAATAGGTTTCAGTAAATTCATAGTGGAACTTTTGTTATGGTTGATATAACAGTTAAAATAGAGGGGTCAGTTGGTACATTGGTAACATACTCGCTTTCACCTAGACAGCTGAGGTTCACTTCTTCGAACAGGCATGAAAAGGTAGAGAAAACCCTACACAGCAATATAGGTTTTCCCAGAATGCAAGAATTGTTGTAAAGTAGATGAAGTTTAATGATTATAGCAAAAATTTCCCTAACTGACTTTTTGCGTTCACACAAAAATATCTGCTTAATGTGAGAAAGCATTGTATTGATCACAGTGAAGATAAACAATTTCAAAATGTTCTAGTAGTTTCCATTTGTGTTCCAGATACACAAGAGTTATGTTAATGAGCCAGGCTGTGTTGTCCTGTCTCAGACTCCCCCTATCATACTGGCTGGCGATGCCTTCTCTCACTCTAACCTCGATGGATGTCTCACCTCTTCATCATCAGTACGAGATGCATTTATAAACTGTACAGGTCTAGATCAGCCAACAAATCGTTTGTGAATTTTCCGTAGAATCCATTTTTTAGGTACAAGATCTTTCAACAATCATTCATAACCTGCAAGATCTCAATACGGGAATTTGTGAACTGAGAGATCACAGCCAAAGTTTTTGTGTAGAGTGAGATCTCTGTTTGATCATTTGCATGAAGTTTTGTGAATGATATAATGGCAGTCATTTTTGAAATGATGAAATCTGCCCCTCAGCTGATTATTACTGCTGGAAGATAAGGTGATATTTGCAGAGACTGTGGATTAGAAGTTACTTGGTTATCTCCATGATGATATGATATTACTTGGTGGGAACAGGGATCATATGATATTACTTGGTGAGATATACATATATCTAGTCTATTTTGAGGCGATCAATGAATGAATGAAGTATATATAAAATTGGTGTATGATAGAGTATACATGTAAAATTAAAATCTATGTAACATTTTGTTTTTCGACTCCTCTTTTTTGATTTGATGGAAATAAAAATGTATGAAATGTGGTTTAAATGAGTGCTGAAATAATTTATTTTATAGTTTTGTTGTTATACAGTGATATATTTTCAAATAAAAGAGAACATTGCCAACTACAATGTGTTACTGTTGATATGACCCAAAAGACATCTTTCAGGGTGTATGTGGAGGGAACCACAACTTCACTATAAAACATGCACAGAAAACCATCATACCTACTTGTCCAATAAAATCTCTATAGAAAGGCATAATGCCATGGTAATTACTAATAGGAAGATCAGATGAGGCAAATGTGTTCAAAGTTCAAAGGGTTATTACCATCATTACGTGAACAACCTGAGCTACCAATATGTTTGTGTCAGTAGAATAAATACTTCCAACAAAGATCTGTAAGATAAGTCACCTGAAGTGTTAGCCTACAGATGTACCCAGTTTAAAAATAAACTAAGCCTCGACTTAATTGAAATGTCATAACAGCATTAAATAACTGGCAACTGATACAGGTCCATCAGGCCTCTTTGTTTTGTTACAATTATTCTTCAATTATATATATAAAAAAAATACATGATTTGATATTTGATGTTTTATTATACATATACCAAAGAGATTTTTGAGACACTTGTTTGACTTACAGTAAACAATCATATACAGCATTTTAAAGAATATGTATATTTGATCCGAAACCCTTGTTCTCAATATCAATGCTGTATTTTTACCAGAAATTTTGTTTATATTGACCAAATTTTGTTCATATTGACGGAATTTATTCAGATTTATCTCCCTTGATGAAAATTTTCTCCTTCCCTTGCCACTTTATTCAAACACACACACAAACACTCACTTCACAAAAAAATGAAAACACACTGAAAATGATAACATGGAACTTGTTTAATCAGAAGTTGTAAATAACCTATAGACTAAGAAACCGATTTCCAGCAAATCAACAAACAAATGTCTTTCTTTATAACCAGCCGTGAAAACACTGTCTAGTCATGAAATAATAACATTGAATAAAATAAGACTAAGGTATTCAGTTAATAACACCTCAAAAAACATTTGTAACACTGATACAGATATGACCTTGATTTCAAGTGCTTGAGGTATGTTCTTGTACACAGCACACTAATTAAAGTACAACTATTAAGTTTGTTAAAATGTTCATGTTTGTTGAAGTTATGGCATGACAAGCATTATAATTTGAATTTCACTTGAATCAGGAGAATAAAATAAGAAAATTACATCACACATCATACACGCCTGACAAACAAACTGTCTCACAGAAAACTTCAAATAAATAAGAATCTATAGCTTTTACTGGAATGGGATGACTAAGGAATTAACAAATATACAAAGGTTACCTGAAGTCAGGGTTTCACTGGAATGGAATATAAATCAGAATACACATGTGTACTACCAAAGCTTTATCCATCACTCAGACATATCAGATAATAGCTATAACCATAATAATACAGAAATCAGTCCAGGTTTTTCATATACCAAAATAGCATCTCACAAGTAACAGTGCTAGAAGCATAGGAATATTGTCTATCATGACCAGAATATTAAAAAGATATATCTCAGTATTTTACTGAAAACAAACTTTAATACAAAGATCACAGTGATTGCCTGTTAGAAATAAAAATAGTTCCAAGCTTATACAATAACAGAAAAGTTCCAAGCTTATTTATCAAATAAAGGAACATTTCCAAGCTCATTTATAAAATAAAAGAACATTTCCAAGCTCATTTATAAAATAAAAGAACATTTCCAAGCTCATTTATGAAATAAAAGAACATTTCCTAGCTTATTTATCATATAAAAGAACATTTATCAAATAAAAGAACATTTCCAAGCTCATTTATAAATTTATGAGTACCCCTAATTTAAAATATACGTTTACATTGGAGTCACAGTATTGGTCCACAGGGGCTATCTAGATAAACCTCAAGGAATTCCTTGTGTCGTGCTGCACACCAGGCATTCCAGAGACTCCGCGAAACTGACAACATACCAGATGAACAGGACCAAGACTCACTTAAGGAATCAAGGTCACCTGCTCGCATCTGCTGAACACTGATGAACATTGGTGAAAAGTTAAGTAAAACCCACCCACCAATAGGAAAAGGTGTCACTTTCCTCTGACTTTTGTTAGACATTGTTCAATAAGAAATTATATATCATAAAAATGCAATAACATTTGAGTGTGAAGATTTTTTTTTTTTTTTAATTCCTTAAATCTATTGGAAGAGACTAAAGCAGTCAATATGTCATTAACATACATGTACATCCTTTATGCCACCAGCAGAATATATAATTTCTCTGTTCTTATTAAAAACTTTCTTCAATGTCACATAGCTGAATATTTGTGAAGATCAATACACTGATGATCAATTTTTCAAAAATGAGTATTTTGTAGGGCTATAAATCAGTGTGATATATGATGAAAGGTCATTAGTAGAGATCATTTTGATCATTGATATGACTAGGAAGCTAGAATTTACATACCGTAGAAGATGTTAAACATTGTATAATGGAGACTCCAACATTTATCTGACCTACAAGTTAGACTATATATAGTGACAGGAAAAGTCACGACAAATCTACCACACCTTCACTATGCAGGGAGAAAACAATTTCAGTTTTAAAACTAAGCTATCCTTGATACCTAGTCTTGGCCTCCAGTGAAATCAACAGTATACAGTATTAAACAACATGCTTGAAATACTAGGTTTACAATATTCTGGACAGATGTAATACATGTTATAGTTCTACAGGGAATGTGAACAAGTATTCCCAGCTTTCCTAGATAGAGATATAAGCTAACATACAATGTAACATGTATACAATAATACTATGTGAATGACAAACATAAACAAGTATTATCACAACAACACTAGGAGCATGACAATGCCTACCAACTGTAGACACCTGGAAACTGATATATGATGTGCTTGGTGCAATATGACAGAGATAAATGTTTTCAGGTCATTATGCATTATGTTTTTAATGGTGTAAATATGGAGGTGTTATACAACACCTACAACTCATCAGTTTTATGTCTCTTCTTTGACTTTGAACACTCGCCCAGTAATCCTTTGCCTCTACACAGGAACTTGTCCAAGTCCTTTTCCTTAAGGTATGCTTCATATATCTCTTCTTCTCCAATCTCACCAACATACATAGAACACATCTCTCTCAACCTACAACAGAACAGGTGTTTCAGTATCTTAAAGTCAATTCTTTTTCAGCCTACTAGTGAAAGGTAAATGAAAACGAAAGTTGCATCAGTAAAGCTCATTCAGGGAAGGGATGATGAAAAACATATCTCAAACAAGACAATAATTTGCATATATAATTTCTGGATCTCCTAATTCAGGGGCTCATACACTGATCAGATATATACATGCTGTAGGTCTCCTAACCCAGGGTCTTATACACTGATCAGATATATACAAGCTTGAGGTCTCCTAACCCAGGGTCTTATACACTGATCAGATATATACAAGCTGGAGGTCTCCTTATTCAATGTCTAACATACTGATCAGTTATTTACATGCTTGATTTGTCTAACTCAGGGACTCACACACTGTTCAGTTATTTAAATGCTGAAAGTTTCCAAACCCAGGACTTATATACTGCTCAATCCCAGAGACTTATATACTGCTCAATCCAAGAGATTTATTAACTGATCAGTCCCACAGACTTGTACATTTATCAGACATTTAAATCCTGTCAGTCTTATAACCCTGAGATTGCTAGATGTATACATTGATTAGACATTTACATACTGGAGGTCTCCTAACCCAGGGTCTGTTACACTAGGTTATTTGAATAATGTCTCCTAATCTATGGTTTCGTAAATCACAGTGGCTTGAGTTGCTATGAAATATCAGAACCAGTGCTCTATTACAGAATGTAGTGGTCCTTTATTTTTTATCATAATGATTAAATACAAAAGCCCTTACTCTTCAGCATTTGTTTATATTTACCTGTTTGGCCATCTCCCTCCACCCTGCATGATCCCAGGAATATCTGCTGTATCCAGTCCTGGTCCTGACAATCGTTTCTTTCCATCAACATCCTTGATTCCATACCTAAAGTACAGGTTTCCTTTCAATAACAATGCTGATTTTGTAAGCATTACAGCACAATGAACAGAGTCAAGGATGTGTTAGTAGGTGAAGACAACACCACTGACAGCACATGTAGACAACAAGCACTCTACCATTTAGAGTGTATTATCTCTGGTAGTGGATTATATATATACATAGACATGCACAGTGTTTGTGTATAGATATATTACTTACTTGTCAAATTTACTTTCACAAATGGACTCTGTTATATCAATGATTTGTGACTCTGGTAAAACTTTCAAGGAAGGCCTCTTCTGGTGAGCTTCTGAGAATTTCGTTTGCAACTAAGGGAAAAAAACAATGTATTAAACACTGTACCAGGCTTAATAGAAACTATTTCATTTTTAATTAGACACTTCTAAATCTGTAATTATACTCAAACGTGTCTTTAATGCATTGCTCCTTGCCCTTTAGATCTATATTACAACTGTATCAGTATCAAAAAAGGATTACCAAATTTACCCTTCAATAAGCTGGAGGGTGGTGTGACACATTATCTCTGATTGATCACTCTAAAACAGAAAACGGACTTATCATGGGATAATGTAATAATTTGATTCATCATCATCACTTTTGTTTTTTAACTTTGATCATGTCAAAAATCTTGAAAACATCAAAGAAATTTATACTTCAAATAGGTAGATACAGATCTTTATAGATACTATAGATTTATCAATTAATTAATCATACTTTGCTAATATATTGTTATCAGCATGCTCCTTTAAAAACTGCCTTCTACATACATACATACATAGATATGTAATAGGTAGGAGTTGTGACAAATTCCTTGCCACAGCTGTGCTTCAAACTAGCAATCCTTCCATCACTAGCAAAAAAAAACGTTTATTTTGAAGATACATGTATGTGTTACTTTTAACTCTGGTCATATGTATACATGTAATTCTTATACCGCGGTACATCATTACAGAACTACATACAGTACCAACAAGTCACTCCACAACAATGTTACCACTCTTACCTGATAAGCGACCACGCGACAGCCATCACATTTTAGATCCTGTGGCATGTGAAGGCTGTGAGCATCCTCGTCGTCCAAGGTTGGAGTTTTAAAGCTCAGCGTGCCTGATTTCTTGTCTTCGCTCTCTTCCACTCCGGCTAGTTTCGGTTCACTCAAGTGCAATAACAGCGAGGAAATTACCAACATATGAACAACATAATGTTTAGTCTTGATCAGTCTACGGAATACCTCCATATCCTGGCTAATAGATTCAGGCACAATAATATTTCATTCTAGTATATAGGTATATGTAGCACGACAACAAGTTAGCAAACAGTAGGTGTTACGTTACAGACCTTTGTTGCGGAAACGAATGATTTGACAACACGTTGTGCGCAAAAATGATGCGCAATAGACCGAGCAACCCCAATTCGAAGCACATCGGCGGGGATACAATTTATTATTTTTATTATTATTATTATTAATTTTATCATTTCTATTAATTATTTGCTTTACTCAATTGTTTTATTTTTGTTAGATTTGATACTTTTCTAATCATTAATTGTTAATTAGACAAAGGAACTATAATCCAAATGTCATTATCAGTGCACGTGGAATTTTTTGGTTTCCTGAAAATGCTTCATACTAATCGTAATGTAATTTCGTTGAGGAACCAATAGACGCACTAAGCTTATAGAAAAGAAGTTCTGATAACACAACCAGTAGACAAATTGAGTGTAACGTTTCGACAGAGACGTATATACGTCTCTGGTTTCGACGACTACACGGTCAGCGTCATCAGACCAATGACTAGTGTGGAGCATGTTATTGGTTGGTTGACAGGTTTTTCGTCTCTACGACTCCTCCTGTGTCCGGGTACCGTCTCACCGATGGATGTCAGTGTTCTGGAGCCATGAGAGGGCGACCTGTACCCCATCAGTGGGATGGAACCGGTGACGGTGATCGTTTGATTATACTAGTTTTAGAAGACGGCCCCGGGACCTAAAAGTGCTGTACCCTAACTCTAAAAGATGAAATGTGTCCGGAAGCTGAAACGAAGAGTTGAAGGGAGGGGGCGGGGTGGGTGTGGGGGAGTATAGTCTGTCACTATCCCTAGACCCCTGGACTGTCGTCATCACGCCTACTCTTTTTACGAAAAGTCGCAATGGGATCTATAGCGTGCGAGAGTGGACAATCCTCACACGGGCCACTGTTTAAAGTCCCATCCGCCGGACTATAGTTATGGGCTTCCGTAGGGTTAGTTAGGCGCAAGTGTAATTAACACCTGTTTCCCCGTCAAGTGAAAACCTTTCCAATCTTTAGAAATGTCTATTGCTCTCTGTGATTCCTACGGAATGTTAAGTATCATACTGGCATTTTACTCATGCATTACAAATGTATATTTGGTTATTTTATTTTCATGTTGTTAAAAAAACTGCTCGCAAATATGTATCGACGGCCAACAAGTCTCAGATAATAAAGTAGCCACTAAGTGGCATCCGCCAGATATTTAAGTGGCGGCCGCCAAAAAAATATTTTTCAGTAGTGGCACTCCAGGGCTTCCGTAGAATCCACCCTATTCCTTCCGCATAATCTGTTCATTATGCCGACATTTTAAAAATCATATGTGTGATTTGTGTGAATGTGCTGAATCAGAAAAGCTATGATAAGGTTTTGACACGATAAGTTACTTAAAAAAAGGTGCTAAGATAGGCTGAAATTGTCTAAGATAGATTTAAGATTTTGGAAAGAGAAAATATTGTTAGTGCATGCATGGGTAGGATGGTTGGATTATGTGTTAAGAGTGAGTAATATGTTAATTCTAACTACATTAGTTATATTTGAGTATAGAAAGACTGGAAGTATGTTGTCTTACCTTACCTATATACTATTACAACCCGCGGTTTGTGTAGAAGTACTGTTTATATGTGGTGTGAGATGGGATGGGATGGGGAAGTGGTGGTAGGAGGGGAGGGAGCTAGGGTCTTGTATAGTGTTTATTTGGCCCGTATGTTTTTGTGATGTGTTGTGTTGTATGTATGATCGTGTTGAGTTTAATTGTGTGAGATTTTAGATTTCGAGCTTCAGACCCTATAGCCAGTGTTGAAATATCCCCTTTGTACTACCAATCAGAGTTCCATATGCTACAAGCCAGGGTACGAGACCCGGATCCGATTGCAAACCAGTCCATGACCGTTGTACCCGGAGACGCCCTTTATGTTTAATCTATACTGGGTCTTAAATGAGTGAGTTTGTATATTGTTCTTCCTATTTAGTCATTTGTTTTTAACTACCACTTGAAGGGACGTGTTTACCTGTGTGTGTTATTTTATTTATTAGTACAGTTTCAGATTATTTCACAAACGTCAATGCTTGGGATGGGACAAAGAGGAGGACACCACATACCTCATGAGGTGTCAGTATGCATCAATGAATGAGAGGGTCAGTAGTAATCCTCTCTGGTACAGTATCACTGGGTTTCCTGGGGATCTTACTCGTTGTGTAGATTTCTGATGTTTGGGAGTTGTCTCCCTTAGACCGTTCTGTTTACCGTTTAAATTAGTTGTAAGAAGTCTATTTTTCTTCGGAATTCAACGAGCAGGCTATGCACTAGTCTTTCATTTTAACGTGACGTTAAAACCTGGTTGATGATGTATATTGGGTTTTTATTCTTTTGAATTCGGCAATGTTGATCGACTCTATTGCAATATAGAAAAAACGTGATTTATTGTCTCTTCTATTCTACAATTCGTACAGTCTGGTGAGATATCTTTAACCATTAAATGTTTTTCTTTTTAATTTCGTTGTTCCTAATATCAGTCTTGTGACTTTAATATTTTCTATCTCATAGCTTGTGATTTAGCTTTAGGTTTATCTATAATTTGCTTAGGTTAGCCATGTTTCTGGCCATTTATTATTGATTTGTTCATTGATAATAGAATGTATCTCTGTCTTAGATAATTTCACCTTACGTTCTATTTTGTTGTTGTGAAGAATTGTTTTGGCTAGATCATCAGCTTTTTTATTTCCAGGTATAATAACATGTGATGGTACATACTCAAAATTTACCAAAATTCCCTGCTGTTTAAAGTTTTTAACTAGATTCAATATGGAGGTAATTACAACAGTTCCTTCACTTTTCTACTCTGTATTGATTGTAATGAAGAAAGACCATCTATAATAATTACTGCTCTGTTTGTAGTCTTTTCGATGTTAATTTGTCCTAGTGCTAACTCTATAGTAATGATTTCACTGGTATAAACGGAGCACTAATTGGTCAGTCTGAGTGATAATGCGATGTTGTTTTCTCCGCGATAAATACCTAACCCTGTTCAGCTCGTTTGTGGATTTTTGATCAGTCAGTATAATATTTGCTATGATTGTTATCTACAGTTTTGATCTGATCTAAATTGCGTTCGACGAGGAATTATTTTGTTACAAAGTTATATGGCGGTTTGGCATGCTATTTGAGTTTGTCCCTGTATTTAGTGTTTTTTACTTCTGAATCGAATTTATTTGGCGGGAAATCGAGTCCTAGTATTTGTGTTCTGGCCCAATATTGAAAGTATGAGCATTTTCCCTCCTTAATTTTATGGCAATTCGCAGGATCCAGCCAAAATGCTTATTGACGCGATGTGTTTTAAAGCGCCTAAACCAATTTTTATTACTTTATACATGTTTAGTGCATTACCTGATGCCAAATGGTAAACCTGACAGCCATAGTCTATTTTTTATCTAATGAGTGCTTTATATAGAGTCAATAGAGTTAGGTAGTTTGTACCTCATTTATTTCAATGTTTTTAATTTTTATATTTTTTGCAGCGTTCCTATGTATTTTTATGTGTGGAATCCATATTAAGTTTTTATTAGAGATCATACCTAATTATCGCGTTTCTCTAACAAATTTAATTTTATTTTCGCTTAGGTGTATTCCTGGACATTTCTCTTTTCTCAAAAAGAACATGGCTACTGTTTTATCTTTTTAAATGTTAAATCCTCACTGGTCAGCCCATTCCTGGTTAGCGTTTAAGGTGTTTGTATGACATTTGCATTCGGTTGAACCTTTTTCTTACTATGCCAAATGCTGGTGTCATCCGCGAGCTGACCTGTGTTAGCTATTTTAATATTTTTACTTTTTTCTTTTAACATGTTTCCGTTTATTCTTGCTTCTTTTAGTGACAGTAATAAAACATCGTGCCTAATAAGGTCGTTAGTTTTTTTTATCAGTCAATGGAAGACAGCTATAGTATAGAAGTTGTTACTGAGATTGTGATAAATCTCGGATGTTATTCAGACTAACGAGTCTAATGCTGATCTATGGTTCCTGAAACTACTTCGATTTTAGCTAATTAAATTGTTGGAACTTCTATAATGTTTTAGTGCATTGTCATGTTTTCGAAAGTTTTACTAAAGGTTGATGTTAAGGAAATAGGTCTGTATGTTGGAGGACTTTCATTGTCTTTGAAAA